CGGTTTTTGATCATGATTCGACTCATTCAAGATAATATTCTCAGAGTTGCAAGCAATTTCATCAGAAATATGTGACTGATTATGACAAACCGCATCTGGTACAATAACACGAGAAATGTGATAAGAAGTTGGTTGATCGGAAACTTTTGTCTCACAGTGATTCTAGGTTTCATTCAACTCTGAACTGCTATGTGACTCCGTATAGCTTCTAGATAAAGATAAGTGATCGTTAGAAACATCCACCTTAGTAAAATCACAAATTTTTGCATTAGTTTCTGCGAAATGAATCACGGTGTTACAAAATGACTGAAAGTGTCCAGTTTTACCATATATAAAGCATTTAGAATTACAAAATACAAATGAATTACTTGGGGGAAACTTGCCACAGAACAAGCATTTACCAAACTTGTGCTCATCTTTGTGAACTGTTTCACGACTCCCCAACGAGTTGTTATCTGAATAACCTTGATTACGTATTGGACCGGGACGACGTAGTTAATTAATGGAATTCCTGATGTTCTGGCGAGTCGTTTCATCGAATTTTTCTCCTTTTCCGCATTCGAAATTTGTATACTTTACATGGTCAAGTAGTAGTTGCTTGAGAGTTGCATAAGGGGGTGAAATCGGCTTGTCTGAAAATGCCAGGTTTTATTAAGCTGTATGCTTCTTTTCTGATGAACATAAGTAAATGAGACGCAATATTAAAATCCTCATCATCTTCCTTGGTCATAGCCCAGATTTCAAACCTTTCCATGTTATCCTCGAAAGCATTAAAATCTGAATGTATATGCAACCGTTCCATCACAGGCTCTATCGCGACTCCAATGTGATGATTAGGAGAATTTGAATTATGGTATCAACTAGTAATCCCGGCAATAACTCAATTTAATCAAGAAGTAATAGATGAGTACGAACGAATGTATTGTATTTAGAATTCAAAATCAAAACAGTCATCAATACAAAGAAATTATTGGTTCATATGAACACCACAAATAGCCATTATAGAACCATTGTTTGCACCATAAATAGAATCTTTATTTCCTGGAATCTCTGGTCAAGTGGGAAGTCTTCTTAAAACTGCTTCGATCAGTTGCTGTTGTAAAGCTAACATCTGCTGCTTCTGCCGTATCAATAACTGCAACTTTTCTGGAGAAATTGCCATTCCTTTTTTCGCCAAGAATAATATTAATTATTTCCACAATCACGTCTACACTTGTCGTATTTTTCTTGCCAAAATCCCCGTAGCCAATTTGTTTGGATTTTATGTCCGACTTTTTATCACGTGATTTATCCAACGATCGGAATACAACTTTTCCAATCTTAGCACGTGCCAAAACAATGATGTTCGACCAGTATGAGCAGTATAGCGTCCTTATTGGTCCCTTGTCCGCCTAGCCCTTCCAATTGAGTCCAGAACACCGATTACAGCTACTGCTATACGAATCTATGCGAACCATTTATTTCAAACATACCCAGCTTATATACTAGACAGACAGACCGCATCATACCATAAAATAGAAAATAACATTTGTACAAGATCAAGTCAAATGTGGCTGTGAACGTGGGATACAGTAACAATAAACTGAGTATAATTTAGGAACTGTAATTCGTATAATAATAATTCATAGGTCAAAATGAATATAGATATACATAATCTAATTACTCAATAGTTAAGCAGTTAGAATATATATAGAATAATCGTCCATTAATATATCCTGGGAGTAACCTGTACTTATGTCTTCACCAGGATATAACAAATTACATGAGCGATATTTGCCACAGAACAAACATTTATCAAACTTGTTCTCATCCTAATGATTTGCATTGCAAATCCTTATTGAACTGTTATCTGCATAACTTTGAGTATGCATGGGGTTGTGGTAACAATGTAGTGGGATTCTTGATGACTTGACAATGCACTTCATGAAAGTTTCCCCCTTTGCAGCATTCTAAATTTGTGCATTTTACGTCGACTAGTATTAGTTCCTTAAGTGTTGCATAAGGAAGTGAAATAGGCTTTTCTGGAAATGCCAAAGTTTTTATTAAGCTGTAGACTTTTCTCTGAATAATGTGAGGAGATGAGCCGCGATATTAACATCCTCAACATCTTCCTTGACCATTGTCTAGATTTCAAACCTTTCCATATAATCCTCAAAATTTGAATGTATGTCCAACTGTTCCATCATAGGCTCTATCGCGACGCCAATGTGAAAATTATAAGTATTTAGATTATTGTACGAACTAGTTTTCCCGGATATAGCGTAACTTATACCAATAAGAATTAGGTGAGCACAAACGAATGTATTGTATTCGGAATTCGAAATCAGCCATAAATCATGTACAAACGAATCATTAGTTCATACAAACACCACTTATCCTCGGACTAAACAATTTAGGGACGCCCTAATCACAAACTTTCTTATTGTCTATCGAAGTGATGATATAATAATTCTTTTAGCCTTAATGTATGGTCTGTCTTTAAGTGGTGCCAACAGTTTCTCCTGTTGTTTTATCTATTCAAGTGACATTTATGTTTATTTTTATTATTTATTTAAACACATAAATATTGGTACAAGGAAGCACCAGATAAATATGCGCCTCACAAATCTCATTCGATTTGTGTGAAGGCTGTGATACTGCCCAGGTGCCCAGACTGGAGCAGGTGGTTTTCTTAGGGGGCCACACCCGGAGCCTTTGACCTGAATGTCTGATCCACAAGGCAGTGGAGCATCGTGAGGAGATGCAGTCCCATGGCAGCCGGTGATCAACGGTTGATTCATACGCCATTTGTTCCCTCAGGATACTGGAGCCCATGTGCACCATTGGTTTGGAATCAGGGTTTTCCAAATCCCCTAGGTGGACCCTCCATGTCCACCAACCTGGTTAAAGCGCCGGGCATTCGCTTTTCGTCCTCTCACTTTCGTAAACAACATCCCCGCCACGAGAAGGCAGTGTACTGTTATGAGAAACTTAATTTGTCATTTTCTGTTCTCATGTAAAGCACCCTATCCGGTTTTTATTCATGATAACCCTTCTTCCTATCACAATCTAAATGTAAGTCCTCACGATAAGATAGGTAAAGATGATTGATGTAAACCTAATTTAAAAACAATTTGTGTCGTCATTTACACCTTTTTTAATTTCGATTAAACCTAACGGTTGTGATGACTAGCTGGAAAAAAGTTATTCAAGTGATTATGTAGAATTGTCTTGTTCAGTTGATACTGTTTAAGTGTTTGCTTGCCCATTCTTTACTCGCTCGTTAGCCGTTGTTACAAAACCAGGGTTTTAGCTTAACTTTTGATCGAATTTTAGTTGGTGCTCCAATCACCTTAATAATGACCAGTTCTCTAATGTAAAAGTCGAGTGCATAGTTTGTCGTGTATCTACCAATTCCATTTCATAATTGTGAAATTCTTTAAGCACTCAATCACGTATATATGAGCTAACAACCTATACGATTGATTTATACTCATTCCTTATATTAGCTTGCTTTTTTACGTACATTTACATTATGTCGTTGTTGTTTAGCACAGATTCCATGTACTTTTTAGATGTGAAGAAATAGACCATCCTGTCACCAGACAGTGGTGGTTTAAGCTAGGAAGTAATTGGATAATGTAGTTTCAACATGATGCTATGCGATTTAGGCAGGTAAGCCGTTTCCATCAACTCTGTAGTGGATTTATACTAGTAATTGGCTGCAAAAAAGTTTATTACACACACTGAAGTAGAGTAATGCGACGCTCTTATTCAAATAAATCTGAGTTTCCCTTGCTCTATCACAGCCACGACTAGAAGGCAATGGAACACAGTGGGTATATTGGCCCTTCTCTCGCAAATGTGTAGAAGCTTAGTTTCGACCTTTCTAAACTGACTCGGTCGTTAATAATGAATAATTGATTGTAGAACTTTGTAAACTATTTTTCTGAAAACCCATAATTTCGTTACGTATATTACCTAAAAAATTGGTTTTTAGCACTTGCAGATTTTCTCAATTGTAAGCTTTTATGTGACTCATCGAGCCTTAATATATTTCCTACCGTTTACAAACTGTGGTCAAATACAAGTTTGTTACTTAGTTTGGCACCACGTATACCCTGTCGATATACATATTGCAATTTATTATTCATACTGCGTTGTCATTTTGTAATTTGCGATCAAAACCACTTGAATTCTGAAACTTGAACAATAATCTCTTCAATGCTTAGACGGGTGAACTTTCAATCATTAAAGTATACAGTGACTGTTGGAGTAGAGGTGAATTCTTAACTGTTTGAAGAGTGGGTTTAAAGTGTTGCAAAAACCGTCAGTGTTTAAGGTCATTTGAAATCATTTACATGGTTCAGACAGTATAGGTTTACTAGGTCAGTTAAAACCCATCGGAAATGGCCTGGACTAATTTCATTACCAATAATCAATGCAGTTAACGATACTGTGTTTTTTCAGAGATTTTTATACCTTAGCTAGAAAGCTCGTGTGTGGTTTTGCGCCTGGGATCGAGTTATTTCACGGAATTATTGGTCTCATTCGTGAATTCCTTTGATGTGAAATCCCATATCCACAGAGGGCATCTGATCTGTTTGATCTGATGAGTAGGTTTAGACTGCTTACCCTCAAGAGCTTCTAACAATGAGAAATTTACGACAAACGTACTCATCCCGCTGAAGTAAAAAGTTAACACTGGGTGGTAATTGGTATATTGTAAACCACAACTTGAAGTTATATGGTAACAATATTCGATACATGATTCTCTCAATACTCCAACAAACGTGTTTTCTATTGAGAAACAAATAGAGATTTAAGTCACCAATTTAGGCATCAAATTTAGCTCAAATTCTGTATCGTCTGTAAGCACACGGGATTAGGTATTTTTAGACTAATTAAATTCTATAGACAATCCATCAGTTCACTAAGTTTACAAATGCTGAGTAACAATATTCACTTAATTTGTTTATATTAACAGTTATCGACCAAATAAAAATGATAGAAAACAGGGATCAAAAATTAAAACTATTTATTCTTCATGAATATAAAAAAAAACGAGGTATACCTGACAGATTTGAAACAATATTAAGTATAGTTTTATGAAAGTATAAAAAGAACATCAGTAACAGAAAAAAAAAGAAATTCATAAGAAGACAAGAAAACTATCTGATCTGCTTTTTCTACACATCTGTTCTTTACGTCAAAAATAAGGATTATAAGAATCGAGATGAGGACAAAAGACTACAGGTACTAGCACCCATTAACAGTAATCATAAGAATACTTTAAGGTGTACATAAGCAATTTCCAAAAAACTGATATGTACATGTAAAAAAGGGCTTATTTATTTTTAAGTTGTGTTTTCATAATATCACAATGAGATAATTGTATTACGTAAGAAGCAGTACGTCAACCAATTGCACAAGTGAAAACTCGATCTCTATCAATAAGAAACTCAACTACTTTCCTCACTAGGTCTCTGTAACCACTTCTAAGCACATCATAATAGCGAAACCAATGAGGGCCATGACAGTTGATAGTCGGCCATGACCTCTGAAAAGAATACAGAAACATAGAATTAGGATAGATATGTAATCGTTATGCAAGTGATAGGTTGTTCCTTCTCCAATTCTAAAAAAAGTTGTAAGAGTTACTGGATAAAGAAATGAATATAATGGTAACAGATTAAAGCATATAAAATTTTGCTGAAAAGACTACTTTACATCTCTTCCTAAATTTAAAATGAGAGCGACCGACAAATAAACGAGAAAACAGAACAAAAGAAGACAAGAAAGCAATGATAATACTAATATGTTACAGAAGTCAGGCAAAAAATATCACAAAACTTTCTGTAAACCAATGGAAAAAAATATCTATAAAATATTATAATACGATTATATGAATATCTAACATGAGTTACAGATGGGGTATCAATGGTATGTATGAAGACACGTTTAAGTTCATATGACTCTGATTTAAAAAGACTTTATAGTTATATAAAACGCTCCCATACAGTTATAGTGAACAAATACTTGGTGAGGATAACCTATGTATTATCTAACGCAAAATAACATAATTCTTTGATAAAATGAAAAACCATACATTAAATACTTCATTTGCAAATTTTCCGTCAACTGTCCCTAACATTCTTCATGATTCTTTCACTTCTCAATTCCTTTCTGTTTTCTTCAGTTCAAATCTTCTTTCGACAGGCCATGAACTTCTGATCGATGTTATATACTACTTAAATCTGTCGATATACGTAGCATGCAACACAAGGTCACTCATTGTTTAACAACTGGTTAATAAAGAGTAATTCTGATCAACTCAAATATTCCTAAATTAATGAAACAACAGACGAAATATAGCTAACCCAGATGACAATATTCTTATCTTATTTGTAGGATACATGAATAATAATACAGCAGGACACCACAAAGAGATACACAGATCAAACGATCATATTATGAAGTAGAAAAAGAAAGGACTCCGTAATAAGTAAGGAAATGAACAAAAGTACTACTTAATAAGATATACAGTCCACTTAAAAAAATACATCGGAAATAACATTTATTTCAGTTAAGTGTTTATTCTGCTTTAATGAAGAATGTAGTAGAAACTAGATCAAAATTACCACTGACTTCTATTCTGAGCTATATTTAATGACGCCTCGAGCTACTAACTAGTACAATCTTTAAGATCATCAACCGGAAATTCGTGATAAATCAACAGATTTCCGTCCAATATGACTATCTTTCATATCACAATGACGCGTCACTAACTAACTCTGTACCTTTTCAAGGTTCTTTAAATTTCAAAACAAATACTTCTGTGTAATGAATCATCTTTATACACAATTAAGTTTTTTAAATACTTTGCCTTTCAGTTAGCGAACCTTACTTCCCTTGTTCAAGCAACTTTATACGCTTTTAACGCCTTTTAAGTCAATAAGATCAATAAACCCTCGACTTTTCTAATGAATTTCGGCTTACCGAATGCGCACTGCTGAGGAGTCCCATAATAGGAAGAAACGGCCATCCAGTGCTTCCAGGTTTTCCACGGTGGTCTAGCTTCAATTGATTCACGATCTTAACTATTGAAATTACTATAATATCCACGAAACCCTTCTGATACCGAATAACTGTTTAATAATACCTAACTCGAAATATATAATATCTATCTTGTACATATTTAACTGAATAGATTTGCTCAAAGAGAAGTAAAGAGTCATAAAACGAACGACGAATTACCTGGACTGAGATTCAGGGATAATGTCATCAACTACAACGAATAACATAGCTCCTGCAGCAAAACCTAACGCATAAGGCTGCAGCCTTCGGAAGAAATGTACGGCCAGACAACCGATAAGCCCGGCAAATGGTTCTACAAGACCAGACAATTGTCCATACCTATTTAAGAAGTTATAAATAAAAGTCTTGAAAAGATTTAACAACGTTAGTACTCATGGGAAATAAGGACAATTGTTAAGTTTGGAAAAGATGTAGATAAAAGCAAAATTGAAATAAGAAAGAGAAATTGAAAACGGCTTAAGCTTCAGTTTTTTTTGCATTAAGGTGTACACGGCTACTGGATAACGGGAATCAGTAAGTTCACATACTTTTAGAAGTAGTCTGGAAAACTGAGACTCTCTTAGAAAAGACAAAAGTGAAGCTAATCATGACTAGTAAGCATACGTGAATGTTCTGATTATTTTCTAACATTTAATATTTTTTATCGAACTTGATCAATACGAATTGATATGCTAAATCTACATCCAAGTAGGATTCTGATTTACAATATCATAAATATTCACGATAACAAGTGATATCTATGCGTTGATTTAGTAATAGGCTCAGAACTCTGAAGGAAATAACTAAATTTACATTTCATACGGGAGTCAAATCCTTAAAATTAATATGTCTGTATTTTATGTAGAACAGAGTTTAACAACAATTCGAAAAAGATTTTACACTAGTGGATATTTGAATCACCTATAAGTACACCTGACTAGTGTTCTCTAAATAACAATGTGTACGTAAAATTGTCAATATTTCAGTAAGTAATTATGTAGCTTATGAGAAACGGAAAAGAAATAATTGATTATATTTACACATAGCTGAAATACGATGGAAAATTTTAATACAGTGAAAATAGTAAGAATGTTCAAGGACAAATGTTCTAGGTTAATTTTACGACTGAACAAAAGCGATACAACTGTACCGACGATTCACTTGACAGACTGAAGCGACTCAATACAAGGAGAATAGTGATGGAATTTGAAAATCTATTAAAAACAAAAAATAAACCAAAATTATGTCCTTGTACAGTTACCTCTTTACAGCTATCATGTAAAAATAGCTGACTGATTTATATATCTCTGGTCTTTCTTATACTTAGGCAAGTTGTTACACTATATTCGTTGTTAAGTATAAGGGAGATACAGTATTATATTGTTTTATTTATTTAAACACAAGAAAAAATGGTACAAAGAGGCACTAAAATATGTATGCACCACACAAATCATTGAATTCATGTGTAGACTGGAATACTCCGGGGTCCTCAGACCCGACCAGATGATTTTCTTAAGGGGCTACTGTCCGAGACTTCGACTCGGAGGTTTAATCTACAAGACAGTGGGGTAACGTTGGGAGATGAGGTCCTATAATAACCAGTGACCAAGAACAGGTTCATCAACCATTGGTTGCCTTACGATCATGGGGCCCATTTGGGCACCATTGTTTTAGAAATAAGATTTTTCAACTGCCCTAATTGGATCCTCCGTATTATATTATATTTTCATGTATCCAGCAGAAGATATATATGTAGGGAGAAATCTGAATATGTGATTTCTGTCTGAAAGAATAAAAATTGTAATTTCCTTGCAATATTTCAAATAATAACTTTTATGACAGAATCTTTAACAGTACAAAAGACATGCAATGGCACAAGAATGTTTAGGTAAGTTTCATGTTTTAGACTTAAGTTGGTAGTTCGACAGTGATTTATTCTAACAATCTAAGTCGTAATTAATTACTTTGTGATTAGTGGTCAATTATAGTCTTTTTATATGAGGACGTGAATGAATGCGACTGTAATTTGATACATTTGTTTGGTTTATAGAAATACAACCGGTAACCCGTTAAAGTATCTGTATAGTAGCGTAGATTTTCAAGCAGGGTGATAACGATATGAATAGCAAGGAAATAAATGACTGGCTGTAAAAACTAGCCGCGAGATCTCGACTAGTGTAAGGGACACTAAAATGACAAAAAGACCTCTAAATAATCCTGTAAAATAGGAAAATTTACAGGTTAAATCAGCAATAGCAATACGTGCTATTCTCAACAATCACCAAATTGATATATAAAATATCGAAATAATTCGGGAAGGTTTTTCCAACTTTAAAAAGAGAGGAACGTAGCCGAAGCGTTTTACATAATGCTATATCCCTCTGACCTCAGGAAGAAAGTAGGTCTGGATATTCATCCAACCCGGACTGTTAATCTGAACAACCACATTTCACCGTACTTATTCTCCACGCAATCTAAAGTCATACACACACCAAAATTTCAACCACAACTTCATAGTACAAATGCATGCATTTTTCATATCCACATTCTGACGCACAAATTAATACAGTGACTAGTCATACAAGTTCGCCTTGATCAATTATAACTTGACATTGACATATTCAGACCTATTATGACTTTGATTGTAGTAAAAATATTCTACATTATTTCCCTTGTACTATGAAAACTTTTGTTTATTTAATTCGGTTCTAGTGAGAAGCCATGACCAATGGAGTTCAATCCGTGTCGAGTGTGAGACAGTTATCTACCTCAGACAATGGATGAATGGTTGCGCAAGATCATGGATCGATTAAAGTTAAACATCAACACCATTGGATGCCGACTAAGTGGTTTGGAGGTTAAAAGACCGAAGGTCCTGGGTCCGAGTTCCGCGTGCAGGATCGTGAATGTGTGCTACTGAGAAGTCCAATACTGGGACGAAATGGCCGTCCAGTACTTCCAGGTTTTCAGTGGTGGTTTAGCTCAGATCGATTCGCGAATCTAACTGTTAAAATACTACAATATCCACAAATCTCCATACTGATTATTCAGTTGTTTGTTTACTCTGAAGAAGTGGCTTACATTAAGTCACGAAATGTCAGAAATACAATTTTTCTAGTCATTGTGATATATATATATATGCTGTTAATGCTCTTGAAATTAACTAAACATTTTCGGAAGCCTAGAAATGGCGAATGATTACGAATTTTAAAGATGAAAGAAAATCTTCAAAACGCAAAAACTAGATAAATAAAATAATACAAATGTGACTTTACCAGAAACTAATGAAAAATCCATATCCAGCTGAATATAATGGTAGACTGACAGCCAAACCTTCAGGAAAGTTTTGAATAGCAATACCGATCGCCAGATTACTAATGTAGAAAAAAACGGAAATGGAAATACTGGTTGCCGAACAATTTACGTACTGATCATACAAAAAATTTAGCAAATGATGGTTAGTAATATGATCTTAAAGCCATTGTCTGATCATTAACCTAGAAAGCACCAATCTAAATCAAATAAAACATTATTTACTTGCTATGTGCGAAATGTTGATTTGCATTTGGAACAAATACAAAAACCAAATGAATTAATAACGGTAAATGGGAGAAAAATCTCTAGAAGAATTATCACAACTTTCGAATGATCTCTTCACTAGATAGGTTAATTGCAATTAAATGTTCATTCAAGAGGATCACAAATAGGTTTTACATTTACTATACTTTGCAGCAATATATGGAAACAAAATTGACAGAAAGCATATAATGTCAAAGATGTACTAGCTTTTATTAGTTAGAAATATCCTTTCATATTTTCGTTACTACTGAGTGGTCATAAGTAGTACAAATTATAGTTATTTGATAAAAAAAACCGGGGTTTAGTTCCCTGAAAAATGACCGAGACCTTCGAGGTAATGGCAGTTAAATATACTAATATTCTACACACAATCCAATGGTACAACAAGACAAAACGGAGTTCAGTTCTTGAGCTGCGATTTGCAAACAGCGTACCAGTATTCGTTAGAAATCTAAATGTTATTTCATTTCATCACAAAGGTATTTAAAAATACGTGACGATCACTCACCATGCTTGAGAAAAAGTAGCTCTTGAGTATAGCCCAAGTCCACCAAATGCAATACCAACAGCAAAACCTTCAGGTATATTATGTACTGTAATAGCTATGATTAACAACCATAAGCGACGAGTTATCACCATTTTCGGAAACTGATTTTTTTCTTTATCAACCTCTATCGATGAAGAAGATGGGTATGCTTGTACAGTGTTTTCAGAACGATGCCTGATGTTGGATTCCATACAATTATTTATCGGATATTTACGTTGTTTTACAGACATATCTACAGGTTATACCGATAAAAATGAAACAATTTTAGTAATAGCCTGTACGTCGCCAGAGCTATAAAGAGCATATGTAAGTTATAACACAGCAGGACACCACAAAGAGATACACAGATCAAACGATCATATTATGAAGTAGAAAAAGAAAGGACTCCGTAATAAGTAAGGAAATGAACAAAAGTACTACTTAATAAGATATACAGTCCACTTAAAAAAATACATCGGAAATAACATTTATTTCAGTTAAGTGTTTATTCTGCTTTAATGAAGAATGTAGTAGAAACTAGATCAAAATTACCACTGACTTCTATTCTGAGCTATATTTAATGACGCCTCGAGCTACTAACTAGTACAATCTTTAAGATCATCAACCGGAAATTCGTGATAAATCAACAGATTTCCGTCCAATATGACTATCTTTCATATCACGATGGCGCGCCATTAAATGATTGACTAATTTCTTTTTCACTCAGTCAGAGTCAGCAATCGAAATGTGATGCCTTTGTGATGGTATTCGTGACAATTTCTCAAGCTTACGACAGCAGTATTTTAAAAGAATGACGTAAGTTGACTTTTCATCACTGCATCCCGAACATACGCTTTCGGTCCCGAGGGTTACTGACATGGTGTCGCCATCAGATGTAAGCCACCTTTTAGAAATAATGATAGTCAGTTGCAGTGAGTCACAGAACATCTTAAACCTAAAGGTATCAGGTTACACAAACATGAAGCAAATATGCTTTAGCAAAGAGATGTAAACCCTACATTTTACAAACAGAATGACAACGCATTGCTCAGAGACGGCCAAGATTGTTAATGTTCACGTGGGCCTTCGTTAAATGTAGATCGACTTTAATAATAATAGCACCATCAGTAATTTTACAACCATCCAGTTAAAATAATTTTTCGAATAATTCTAACGACTCGCCAGAAAGAGTGAGCGTAGAAGTATACTTATGTCAGTTTGGTAAAGTACGCTGCACTTCAAAGTCCAAAATGTCATATCCCAGTGAAGATTAGATAATAGGTAACTTAATGAATTAATATCACATATACATACTTATTGTATAACTGTTCAGTAACTATATTGTGTATATCTATATTTCTTTTATTAAAAGCTTTATTTTGACCTATAGACTATTATTATACGATTTACTGTTCTTAAGCTATGTTCAGTTTATTGATTACAATCTCCCACAATCACAGCAACTTTCTGGCTATATATATATATACTGAATACTGAATATTTATCGACTGAGAAGGTTCGCACATGCATCACGTATGTTAAACCACTGCCTACTTTGAAGAGCGGCGATGGATACTTAATGGTTAGGAAGAAAGCTGAGCACAGTCGAACAAAACGCGGGATCAGTCCTTAAAGTCGTTGATTGTTGGGATGAACCATGTGTTATGTGCAAATTATATGATTGCGGTAAGCGCAATTATCGTAATCACTCTCTAGAGACTGGATGACTAGGCTCGAAGTTATTTTCGTAGGTGTACCCATTCTATCTTGCCCTATAGCGTAAGTAGTTACATTTCTTTAGGAAAATTATTTAGATTCCATAAATCCTAATCTTTTAACGGATCACATGTTATACATCTATTTTTTTATTATCAGGAATGATGTTATGCGGCCAGGGAAGTTAAGAAATGACTAACCGCCGAGCAAAGATAGACATCCACCTCTAGGAAGTATCAAAATATTGTATAATACTCTGAATTCGTCCTACTATTGATTTCCCTGGATTTAAAACAGTGAGTGGAGTCCTTGTAATTGTGTTAGTAGATTTCTATCAGTTTAATCTGATTCTCAATCGTGTCATCCGAGATTGTGTATCTTGTATCGAGCGCAGTGATCAAATGATCTAGTACCTACCTGCGTGTATCAAATTCGTATTTTCGGAAAACCGTATTACATCTCACTCTTGTTCTAGCACAGAGAAAAAACTGTAAACCAGTAACAGTATCAGTGATAATAAGAAAGATCAGACATACAAAATGGTGTTAGAAGATTCCAGGGCTCAATATCTAAGGAAAAACAAAAGTGAATGCACCTACGCTATTGCGAACGACCCTGAACCTTGTCATTCAGTCTCTAAAGATTGGTTACGATAATCGCGTTTACCCCAATCATATAGTGTGCACATACCCACATGGTTCATTCCAACAATCAATGACTAAGGACTGATACTGAGTTTTATTTAAATGTGCCAAGCTTTATTTTGGCCTACTCTTACAATAACTTTACAGTTCCGGGATTTGTTTTGATAACTTGAAAACACTGCATTTATGGGGTGTGATGACTTGAACCGTTCGACATATGTGCCAGGTTCGATGTTGCGTATGACTGAATAAATAAATAAGAAGCATGATAACAACGAGAAATAAATAAAATTTTAGTTTACGAAAATGGTATAAACTAACTAGGATACTAACAAAACATGATACTTGATCTCTAAGTGGACAACTGAGATTCTAGTATATAATATTCCCTATAAAAAAGCTTAATGTGAGGATATATGTAATGCGAATACGATCTCCAACTTCAATTCGCACAAAACTGAGATCGTTGTCCTTCTTGAACAGGATTTACGACTAGTAATTCTTGGTGAGAATAAGTAGGTGTTTGGTAAAAATCATCTGTTTCTTTAAGCCTATGTACATTATTATAGAATATCGATTCACGAGTATTAGAGTGACGTGAAAAAACGAAAATGTGAAACTCGGGACAATATTTTTCGGCTAGTTTATATATATTTATGTTTATTTACTAAACAATTGGTTTATGGTACTTTTTGTAACTATTATTGCAAGCCGTTTTGGTGGAATTTGTGTCATTTCCCTGAAGGGAATACCCGTTGACCACATTATCAATTGGAGACACGAAAAAAATGAAAATCATTCGGTGGAAAGTTTAGGCTTTGAGATGGTGGAGAAGATTTGTAGCTCAGGTGGGTGATTTTGATGTTGGTTTGTTCTCTGAGCTGGATGGTTTGGTCGTGGAGCTTTCATCGTCCTTCTGAACGACATCATCAGCACAAACTTCGGGTAGAAGTGAAGTGTTTGAATTTCTCCACATGTGATTCACAGCTTGTCATCTGCACCTCAATGTTGATTGGTTCTTATTGACCTTAAATCTGTCATTGTTTATTTCTTTGTTCTGGTTGTATCTCCTATTGGTTTGATTTTTGTTCCTATGTTCCTGCATAATTTTCTTGATTGGTTGGTAGATTGGATTGATATCAATATTGATTGACCTGAGTGCCAAGCTTCTAAAAATTCCCTGGTATTTTTGGAATTGCCTCCGTCCAAAATCTGCACATTTTCCCAGTCGAATGTATGTCCGTAGTTGTCCACGTGTATTGATATGAGTGAAGAAATGTCGTGGCGTTTGACTGCTAATTGGTGTTCATGTAGGCGAAGATGCAGGGGGCGTCCGCTTTGTCCAATATAGTGTTTGTTGCAGTTGGTACAATTTATCTTGTAGATGATGTTTGTTTTGTCCTCTTTTGCCATTCCATCTTTTGGTTTGCATAAGATTGAGTAGAGGGACTTTGTTGGTTTGTGGGCTACACCTATTCCGAAGGTCTTCAGCAGCCTTGTTGTCGTTTCCGATATGCCCTTTATGTATGGTAGGGTGATCCTTTTGTTGATTTTTATACTTGATTTCGTTTCTGATGGTGTGTGTGACTGGTATTTTTTGATGAAATTGATTGGATAGCCGTTCTTTTGAAGAATGGTTTTCAGGTGTTTTTCATCACCGATCAAATTCTCAACTATAATAGCAACAACCCAAGAACTCACAAAATCAACTGTGTACAAACTTTGTTCAAGAGGGAGAGAACACACTGCAATACAATCACAGCACGAAAAAATGAAGAAAAACACCTGAAAACCATTCTTCAAAAGAACGGCTATCCAATCAATTTCATCAAAAAATACCAGTCACACACACCATCAGAAACGAAATCAAGTATAAAAATCAACATTTATCGCCTCGTGATCTTAATCAGCTTCCACAACGCTATACTCATTTGTATCCCATGATTGTTTGAGAACTAAATTAACGGTCCCGCTGCTAAAAAACGAGTAGTTATTATTTTATAACGAATATGATTAATTTCCAGTCACATTTAACTTTTAGCCATTATATCTAATTAAAATCAAAGTTTGATTGAGTTTATCGAGAACAGAGAATTAAGTCGTGATACTAGCCTGTAGCTGAGTAACCACATGAAAATTAAAATATTGACGAATGGATATGTGGTCAAGTCGAAGATGGTCTAAATGTTTGACAATTTCCACCAGGAATGCGAAACCGACAGATTTAAAAGTGTACATACATTATAAATATTTATGCTGATAGGAAGATAACAATTCAAAAATTAACAGATATTATGTTATACTTTTTACAGTTTCAGAAGGGAACGCATTTAACACAATATACAAATAAATTTAACAAACAATGGAATATGAGCATTACTCTCTAATAATAAAATTTTTATCAAATCAAAAACCATCATGGGAAATATTAAAGCATTTATAAGTATAAGTAGGAAATACCAGGATCTTTATTGAAATTCTGTTTGTTTTGTGTTCTATCTAGGTCTTGGATGAGTGTTGATGAGGAGTTTTAAACTAAGACGAAACAGCGGTCCAGTGCTACCTAGTTTTCAACTGATGTCCAACTTAAGTCGGTTCGTAATATGAGTAAACTATTGGTGTTCAACTAGCAAATACATTCAAAAAGATAAAAGTAATTATGAATGTGAGTCACCTTAAGAAACCTGCATTAGTGGACGAAAAAGAAATACCAGAAGTGAACAAGAAAACCTTCCAAAAAGTTAGTAACACCGTACATTACACTCACTTATTTGTATGTAATACGTGAAAGAGTACTGGTAGTAGTAATAAAGGTATATAAGTTCCGGAGAAATAATAAATATCACTGTAGTAGAAATAATTTAATATAACAAGATAGAAGCAGATGCCAAGCGTTAAACCACTAAGTTTGCAGAACGTAATCCCGATTAGTATAACCACCGACTCCAGTCACAATACCTAGTTTGCTATATAACAGAAGTTTATCTATATTCTGAAATATCTATGACTGTAAGGTATATAGTGGAGTATGAAAAGTTGTTTAAGTTAGAAACAAAGTAACTGATATTCAAAATAAATTAATCGGAAAATGCGTTTATGGTGTTTTGAAGCCAACGGTCGAATTCCCAGATGCTGGTATTATATGAGTGACTCAAGATATTGGATACTAAATTCCGGGTATGTAATTTCGACAACACCTGAATTCACGTAGATGTGAGTTGTTAATTGAATTTTCTTTTTTTTTCTTCCCAGTCGACGCTTTAAATACTAAATTACACTATAATCTGTTTCAACTTCATCAGATATAATAAATGGTATGTTGAAAATCGTGAGAATGAACAAATAAAACCAGAAATTTCGACAGACATCAACTTATACATGTCACCCGAAAATAGACTTCTCAACAGAACTGCTTCTCTATGACTTTTATGAGCAGAAAAAACACAAGGCAGATATTTATACAAGATTTAGATAGAAATTATTATAACTTACCAGACACAATGCCAGAGCTTGGATTAGACACTGGATAATAAGAAGAATCATTAAGTGCCACTGGCACTGTTTCAAACCACTAAAAATCACCAGAAATATTATAGTCAGAATAAGTGATTTTAATACCGCTACTTATGATTATTATACTCCATAAGTAAACACGATAAAACCAAAAACTTGTAGAATGTCTTTGACCATTTATGATTTTCAGGATGACTTTTCGATTGTACACTGAGTGAATAAACATATTGCTTTAAGTGACACAGATAATCAATATGTGGGTTGTAAATACTTAAAATTTGGTACAAATTGTCCCAAACAAGTATATTTTATGCCGATATTAGTTCTGAATATTAGTCTTCGTTTAACAACTTTACGGAAATCAACAGCTCTTAGAACTGAGATCGGAAAGAGAGATCAAGCTCTTATTGTCTAAAAAGCTACATTTACCAATGTAATCGACATGCATATGCAATAGGTTAGCGACAAATCATAGGTTTATTTAGTTCTGCTTGGAAGTCTATTCTTCTTTTACAAAGTTAGCAGCGGATTCTCATTGATCAGTTATTACCAAAAAAATACCAGGCATAAGTGCACATCGGGCTGAAGTTACCAAACCTCATTTCAAATAATTAACTGATTTCATGTCTTCTTTAGCTCACTAGTTTTATGCAAACCTACTTCTATGTCAGACGACATTAAATGGTGGTTAAGTAACAGCAAACATATCCTAACCTGATAATTGAACTTTCCGAATTAATCTAGTATTATATGCCTAATCTCGAGATTATTCACTCAATGGTTTCATTATGTACGAGCGCTGCTTCAACGAAACCTAAATTCAAATACTTGCAAATTACGTATTTTCTATTTTTATATATTATGTTTCGGACGAGTAAAGCAATACAGAGAAAATTATGGAGGGGTATATTCACTCACTGGTTGACAAATGGATACTTTCTCATACATGATAGGTGGTGCAATTTAGCAAAATAGATGTAAGCTATTTTAATTTATGACGAGGTTTCATCAGATACCAGGCCAATAAAATTTACGAGGCTTAAAAGATAATGAAAGCGGTTGACACACTCCAATACTTAACTCCCTATAGTCAAACTAGGTGTTGATGCAGACTAGTGGATGTAATATTTGCTACTCGGAAGGCCTATTCAACAACGTATGTATTACTAAGCGTTAACACACCTTTTCATAATACATCATGTTAAATTACTGAAAAGTATTAATCAGGGAATAAAATAAAAATTTACCTGGGCAGGTAAAAAAGTATCCACTAATCCAACAAATGCTGCACCGATGAACAATCCACATATTACAGGGAAGACACAATATGCACCTAGACCTAAGTCAATTTTAGCCATCTCCAATGCCGGTTCTAACAGGGACCAGAATGATGCAGCTAACATAATCTATTGATGCAAAATCAAAACAATACATGCAACTATACAGTCAACCTTAAGGTAGTAAAGTTTAATTGTCTTGACCAGGGCAATGTTCTACAATACATCTGTGGAGAATTGATTAAAAGATTTTAAAAACAACCCCAATAATTTTATTAAACACGACTTGTAAAATTGAATACTTATGCACAGATAAAAAAGTTAATGCATGCAGCTGGAAAGTCGGAACGAATAAGCATTAAAGCAGTCTGACCAACCTTTAGCATCCTTTTCTAGGATTCCATAACAAAATTAATTGGATATCTATCACTATGTGTAAAATCCATAACGATGAGATGAAAAAGGAAAGAAACTGAACAAAAAAACTTCAACCGATTTGTTTCCGGATAGCATCAAGATATTGGAACTTTGATTCTTTGGAATAGAGGGGTGGTGCATTTTAGAATTTGACAATCGTATGAAATAACGTATATACAACCAAGGAGAGAAGAAATTGGAACTGATTTGGTTTACCAAGTGGTTATTTGTTCCAGCAACGGGATACACAGTAATTCTGATCAAATTCATACGTGCCAACTAGATTTAACTTTAAGAAACTCCTTTCTTATTGTACGAACATCACTATAGTTGAACAGTTTAAGGTGATACAAGAGTATGACTTGTTCCAAATTGTTAAAATTTAACAGATTAGGGATGATAACGTGAAAAATAGTAAGACTTACTCCAGAGGAAAAACCCAAACTGCCATCAAGAATCTGATTCTAAACACAACAAATTAAAGGTAAGCAAGAATAGAGACGGCAAACAGCGAACTCAGTTATAATAAATTTTAATTATACTATCAAAAGTAGAAATTTTTTCTCTATTTTTACTCAAATTATAGTCAGTTTTATATAATATTTATCTCATCTCAATCTCCTGGAGTTGAGCTTTTAACGGAAGGCTCACTTGTTGACTTAGAATACGCCGACGACATAGTTTTATTTGATAAAGACGCTGACAAAATGCTGAATCTTCTGACCCTATAAGCAACTATGCAGGCATGTTCGGGATGCGATTCTCCCCCTCGAAGTGCAAAATGTTACCACAGGATTGGGTTGCATCGACACCTGAACTAATGATAGGGAGTGAAGTAGTTGAGCGTGTTGACAGCTTCACTTATCTTGGAAGTCTCATCAGCCCTTGTGGTCTGGTATGTGACGAAATCTCAGCACGGATACAGAAGGCTCGTCTAGCTTTCGCCAACTTGCGTCATTTATGGCATAGGCAAAGATATCCGTCTAGCAACAAAAGGACGGGTTTACTGTGTAGCAGTTCGTTCTGTCCTACTTTATGGCTATTAAACATGGCCGATAAGAGAAGAGGATATTCGTAGGCTATCAGTGTTCGATCATAGGTGTCTTCAAAGAATTGCTCGTATATTCTGGGACCACCGGGTAAGTAATACAGTTGTTAGGAAACGGGTACTAGGTAAAGATGGCGAATCGATTGATGAAGTAGTGAAACTTCATCAGTTGAGGTGAATGGGACATGTGTTACGTATGCCCAACCACCGACTGTCCCGACGTGCGATGTTTTATGGTGTAGGAGTAAGTTGAAAGAAAGCTAGGGGCGGCCAGACCAAAACGTGACACAAATCCATGAAGTCACTAACAATTGGACTGAGCCATGTTGGTAGGTGTAGACTACCTGGTTGGGATTCTCGAGATGATAGCAACCGATGGTTACAGACCTTGAATGACATGGCTTAAAATCGTTTGCAATGACGAAGGTGCATCCACTCTTTGTGTTCTACCAAATTCTAAGCTTCTGAATTCTTCATATTTCTATTATTTTCTCTTTTCAAATTTATTTCACTGTATTATACTCCTTCAATAACATCTTCAAACCCTAATCTTTCACATAATGCTTATACTCTTACTACTTCTACCACTATGGGATTTGAATCGACAACCTAATCTCTGTGCTAATGTGGTATGGCCACTCGAACTGATGTACGTATGTACGAAGTTCTACGTTGTGACTGACTGATTGATAACATCTATCTGTCTTTATATATATATGCAAAGACATATATTGTAGCAATTCAAGCCACTAGAGAGATGAACTTAACAAGATGAAAATTGAAATTTAAACGACAACGACAGTAGTAGTCTATAATTAAAATACAAGGTATGTGGCTTAGAAAAGAAGTAAATAGAAACTTAAAGATGAATATCCACTCCACTGTAAATAATTCCAATCCGTTACCGAAAGCTTCCAACATAGATGACCATCATCTCACTGGTCTAAAACAGAAGTATTGTATCTCCCAATACGGGTAGATTCATCATTCAATGAGTTCATTGATTGACCATATATCTTAGTTTGGTCATATAATTAACAATTCCCCAATATAATCTTATGCTAGCCAGTACAGGTCATAGTGGGTTGTATAGTCGCGAATATTTTTTACTTAGTAAAGACGAGAACAGCATACAGCACAAGTCTTTGGGACAGCAGTAGGAGAAAATTCGATTAGATTACACATGTATTGAAGCATCATAATGTAGCCTGAACATAGGGCAAAACAAAATCATCTACATATAATAAGACATATGGGACCGAAGTGAGGGGATGAATTATGGATATCCTAAAAAATGGTTATCCAAACAAACAAAATTGTGATTCTCCAAAAAAGTCTAATAAAACAGTAAAAATCTGGATAGTGACTAAAAGCCTTAGTTGCGAAATCTAGGAATTTGTTGTAAAAACGTTTGAGATAAAAAGAAATCGATACACAGTCACCAGGTAAACAAAATTTCAAAACTAATTTCAAAAATATGCTTTTAAAAAAAGTAGTATTAAGGATGTTAAAATTAATCAAGTTTCCTGAAAAGAAAATTATGCACCTTCGCAAATGAAATTTCCTAGATCTTTAGATTCTTCCACAATTGTTTTCATCAGAATACACAACCACATAAAATAAAAACACACCTTTAGACTCGATGAGGAATTAGAAATGATGAAACAAAATACAGAGCCTATTGCGGTTACAAACCACGTTAACCCAGTACCCAGCAGGGTTTGCATAAACGGTGAAGCATCCTCAATCATGATTACCAAAAAACAATCGTAAATTTGAATAGAACCACTATGAATGGTACATATATATGTCACGCAACAATCTAAAACCAGAATAAATAAACAGAAAAACAAACAAGATTAAACATCTCATACTGTTAAAAAGAACTACCACCTAATGGTCTGTTTTTCTTTTATTTAAGAGCTCCTTTCAGCTCTAGTAAATAAGCTGGACAGGAGGGGATTTATTCAATGAGTTATTGAAGATAGCATACGTGAACCGTAAATGCAAGTTTTGCGGCCAATCTAGTTTCTCTTCGAACAATCCTTATGATAGATTTATACCTTCGAACTAAAAAGTGATTAGTTCATTCTGCTCATGAACATGTGCGAGTTGCGAACTTATGAACAACGAAATTACAGAACTTCTGACGGTTAAGTTTTTTTTAATCAACATACTCCAACAAATAACGATTACTGGTTGGCGATTTGTAAAAACATTGTGTGATAGCTACAAAAACCAATGATAGTTTTAAAGATAAAAAATCTAAAAAATCTAATTATAAATAAGTTTTATATGGAATCAACGACACATAACAATGAGAATTGTTCTGTAATGATTGGTGGTGAAGCATATCTAGAGGATCCAACACAATGGACAGGAATGTTGAGACCAAACTTCAGGTTGCGTTTCGCAGCATATTTAAAGTCGTTACTTGAAATCAATGGTTAACATAATGAGACAGTCATCATATGTGGCAACCGAAGATCAGGTTATATCTTGATATGATTAAAACAGAAAACGTGGTATAATAAGTATCAAATTAATACCCTAAGGGTTAGGCGACCGTTGTAAAACCTGATGGTTTTCGGTTCGATCCTTGGTGAGATCATGTGTGGACTTTTCAAAAGTTAGATTTAGTTTTTAATGGCATCCCATGTACTTTCAATATGTAACGAAATGTTTATACTTCTTTCAACAATCAAATATTCATTCCATATCAAAACCTCAAGCATCACGCAAGCACATTTATCTTATGCAACAAATACACAGTGAAAGACACAACATTAAAGAGAATTTTCCAGTGTTTACAAAGAATTTCTTTGTTGAAAGACAAGAACACTAAGAAAAATAGGGTACTTATTTTATTTGAAAAAGATAGACAAAATATTGAATTTTAAAGTAATCCTCAATATAAAAGTGGAAACCAATACAAAATATTCTTTTAGCAAAAATAGTGTTATAAAATGCATTATATAACGGTTCATATGAAAAACATTAAGAATCTGTCTATTGTTGCAAGCCCTGGATAAGCCAATAAGCGATTTGTCCTAAGTATTCAAAACCGAAATGTACACCGATATGACGATAAACATCTAAACGACGATAAACTGCATGCCCAGTTGGAACAGTTAGTGTCAACTTCGTAGAACAATCAGCACATTGAGCAACTGACCCACCATTTGCAATCAGCAACTCCTGTATCCCACCACCTACAGTACATTTAGGACACTGGAGATCCTATCAAAGAAAATAAGTGCAGTAAAATAAATCTAATGCAGACATGCGCATTTAATCAGTCAGTTATTGTAGAAATTTTTCAAATAACATACGATCAAATTTGGAATCGTTTTCTTCAGAAGCTGGCATCAATAGAAAACCCATCAGGGACTACAAGTCTAGTTGCATTGAAATACCAAGTACCAGTAGATTACTTAATAACAAAACTATGTATACATGGTTATAATTATCAAAATATATTAAAAAGGAGAAAATATGGTTATGATAGCACACAATTTTGATCAACACTAAAGGAGCTAAAAATTACCATAAGGCTGAAAACAAAATGTGAAGGAATAATTTGTGGTACAATATCAAGAAAACAAATTATTCATTGATTTATTGACGAAACCTTGCTTAAAACGTTTAGATGCCTTGATAGATCTGATACGGCGACGAAAGTGAAAACTAATCAGAAAGCCACAATTAGTGAAAACTAGACGAGAAGTGAAGTCACATAAATATTAACATGACCATGAACGAAAAACATTTTTACTTTAAGTCAAAACTAAAAGTGATGTAATAATTATCTAACGATCAAGACGACAACTTATGCATATAGCATGATAGGATGATAAAAAAATCCGAATAACCAGTGATTTACAGCAAAGAAAAATTACTTCAGTGATAAAAAACATAATGATAATAAACTATTTCAATAATATCCTCCATGAAAGTGCACATCATGAGTGTTCTTCAGAATAAGAGACATTGGAGCGAATAATGAAACTTATGCAAAAAGTGAACGACTAGTGAAAAAAGTGGATACCTTCAATGCAACATAGAGCGGGTAAAGCAGAAAGTGTAATGAGACCTACTGTATGTTGAAATAGCGATTGGATAGAAACTTCTTAGCTATCAAACTATGTCTCTTGTGTATTTGTATATATGACTGACATTTCTTTGTACAATACAAATTGAATTTGAAAATTAAGCAATTCAGTGCACCAAGGTTATAAAGTTGTCTTTTCAGAAGATTGAAACTTTTAGGTATAACTAACACTAGATTAACAACACGTTTAGAAAACCACAGCGACCGAGTTAATTTATTATACCCGAAATATGCGATACAATTAATAGAATATAAGTGCAATAGCAGATATTGAATAGGAGACATGAAGTGGATTTAACAAACCTGTAAACAATGTTGAAGTGAGAATTGTTCAAGCTGTTGAACAAGAGCTTCTTCCAGCTTATCACGTGGATAAACTGTACGACAATGCGGACATACCCAAGCCCAACAACCTGATTGTCTAGTTTCAGCATGCATTGAATCCATAGATGCCATTATCCAGACGACATGTATATCACGACAAACATCTATGTCCCGTGTAAAATTACACGTTGGACAAGCAACCTCTGGGAGATAAATTAGTAGAGAACGAATTGCAGTTGTTTCAAAAGTATATTTATTTGGATCTTGGTTCAACGGACAATCCCTTATCATATGAGGGGAAATCCAAATGGCCTCAGGTGAAAATTCTCCAACATTTATTAAACGAAGTAAATCATGTCTAATACTTTCAATGTGTAACTTCGCGGATGGCTCTAAACTCAAAACCTTTTAAAAATTAGGGAAAAGTTATGAAAACAGAAAAATAAATGCCAAACAAAGAAATTCGACTTCTCAATTTATAGTTCCTTAAAACGAAAAACGAAAAAACTAGAACGACGTAATGATGACATACAAAGACTAGGATGTTTTTGATTCTTGAGAAAATTTGTTAACGAACGTAAACCAGTGGCGTATGGCTTCTAGGACGTAGCTTGTGAAAACACTTAATATGAAAAGCAAATCAAACTATTACATTCTCTTAAGACTATTTTGTGTTGAGGATGACCGTCGGAAATACATCATTCTTGAAGATTGTTTATTAATTACGGTAGACCAAACCTGCAGCTGCTTGTAAAGATCGCCCACTTTAACATAACCGATGGTTTGAAACTACTATTCACATAGAATTTCCAGCTGAATCGAATCGACAACTTGAATATATAGATACATTGGACAGATTATCTAATAATATGTGGTCAAATGAGTTAAAAATATCAAACTTTATCTTTTTGTACAAACAAAGTAGAGAGGTTTAACAAATTCTTCATTACGAAAAAATGAAAGCTTGCATGATAACCAAAAATATTAGTAAAAAAAGAAGATGCGAAAATAGATAATCAGTGTCCGATAAAAACTGTTTTACGAACGGACTGATTTCTAAGACTTAGTCTATACACTTTTGAAGGCTCGAATGATTCAATCCTGACCGCCGATACATCACAGACAGAACTGATAACAGAGTTCAATAGAATCAATGACGCGTTTTAGAAGAACGATCAATGATTCTTTAGAATAACTAAACTTTTCTATTTCAATTACAAACGAGGTCACAGTTCTTTGTTATTTGGATAGTTCGAAAATAAAACGAAAACACTTTTTAATACTCCGATATTAAAATCTACTTGGTGAAAAACAAGTGATGGAAGACACTTAAATTTAACCTAATTTCAATAGTTATGATGTAGGAAGTTATATATCTGGGACCAGGGCTATTCTTTAAAAGCAATGTAGCAACACCATGAACTTATTAAAGAATAACTATATATATATATATATATATATATATATATATATATATATTGAGAGCAACATACCTCACACAATGATTTAATGAAATCAAGAAGCGGAGTGAAATTTTGAGTATAAATAGCCTGATGTGCAGGTAAAAGGGGTAGAACTAAGTTCGGATTCGAATTTTTGTTGTTGTTGTTGGCAACATCGAACTCTATGTGTGAACCAACTGATTTTTCCGCAAGGTAAGCACTGACAAGGTCGTTATTTCTACATATGTTTGAGCCATTATTTAATTGACAGGTCCTATTATTATCAATTGATGGGTCAGTTTTCCTCATTAACTCTGGATCAATCCAAGCAGCTTTACGTTGTAGGCGAATAATTAGATTGTATAACTCTGGGGCCAATTGATCTCTAAATAAACGTTCTTCATATTCCCTAACTCCAGGAGAGACAGTAGCGTCTGACTTATATGGTGTTGTTTCAGCTTCATGTACACAGTTAGGATCTTTATTCACATCAACATCGAATTCAAGAGATCCGTGTGGTTCATTCTAAAAAAAAGTATAGAACTGTTTATCATGACTTTTAAAGGGAAACTAGCGAAACATCAAGTGAGCGCCAAGGCAAACAATCGTTGATTAGAAAAATGGGTGTCCTTCATATGAATTCGGAAAGTTGACATCTCACACCCTTTTTATAAGAGGTTGCAAACTGAAATATTATAAAAATCATGGGAAAAATGACTTACCAAAGAACATTTAATAGATTCGATCAAACGTCGATGTTCATTTCGAACTGCATTGTAAATAGCCAAAAGATATCCTGCTAGAAGACTTTGAAATTTACTTCTTAAACCACGTGTTTCAGGTAAATAACGTGCTAAATGCCAATGCATATCAAGTTCAGGATCGGGAAGATTAGGTTGTTGTTCATCTATATTATTTTCCTTATCTTCAGTATGAGGATGAGACTGATGTTGAATGGTTAACACTTTACCCCATTCAACATCTTTACCATCGACCAGATTTTCCACAGAGGCCTGGAACGATGAATAAAGAGATGGTAGAAAATCCATTCAACCAATAAATTAGTGAACAAGGTAGTTTACGGATTACCATTGGGCAGATCGGTTGGAAAAACCATAGGTGTACAATGAAACTATAGACACAACAAAATTATTGGAAGTTTGATAAAGCACGTCAAAAACATATCAACTTCTGATTTTAACGGAGAAGAGAAAGAGTCTTGATAAACTTCAAAAGATTGTTGAAATAGGTGTAATGCAAAACAAAATTCGATTCCCACTGATTGAGATAGTGAATGTTTCAAGTATAATATCCAACAAGTGTTAAACAGAGGTGAAAGCATCTACAGTAATCAGTGAATATCGCATAGTACTGAATACACAATAAAATTAATGATCGTCAGCGTCGTTAATAAATAGCATAAACGATATCCCTACTTTCATTCGATAAGCTCTTTTAACATATGAAGGTGGAATACAAGAATACGAAGAAACAAAAAGCAACCCGGTTTTTATTTGATGATCGATTTGTGAAAGAAATTTTACTCACAGTATGTATTAAAATGTTATACTTTACTATTAGCATTGCCATACCAGAAATTCAACACTAATACTCATTACATATTACGAAACAAGAAATGGTAAAACGAGTACCTGAAGTATGCATACAATTACAGATACTCAAATACGAAAATGGTGCAACTTGAAAACTACATTTAAACGAAATCCCCCAGGGCTTAATAAATGGTTGCTTCATAATAAAGTGAAGGTATTTTCACAATTTTTATGAAAAGAAAAGCAAATATTTTTTTTTAAAGTAACTATATAGATGTATTCGTTGGTGATGAAAGCTAAACGACGAGAAGACAACAAAGGATAAATTTTCACACGGACTAAGACACACACGTTTATGAAGACAAAAGGAATAATAAACCACTGAGAAGTACTAGAAGACGAAAAAGTCTGTCTCAGAGTAAATGTTGAAACGATAATATCACTAATTTTTAACAGCCATTAAACGGTTTTTACGCTCAATGAATCAACGTATAACTTCATAAATGAATTTACATATGATTTAAAAAATAACAACAGGCCAATATTGGAAACAGAAAGAATGATTAAACGTTCAATCTCATCATCAACAGCGACAACAAGAATATTTACTGAATATAGAAACTGGCTTCATGATAATGACAAATCAACACCTATTCTATTATGTTAAATATACACCACAAAGCAAATTGTTATAACCTAGTGAAGGCATAATTACAGGTTACTCCCAGGATATATTAATGGACGATTATTCTATATATATTCTAACTGCTTAACTATTGAGTAATTAGATTATGTATATCTATATTCATTTTGACCTATGAATTATTATTATACGAATTACAGTTCCTAAATTATACTCAGTTTATTGTTACTGTATCCCACGTTCACAGCCACATTTGACTTGATCTTGTACAAATGTTATTTTCTATTTTATGGTATGATGCGGTCTGTCTGTCTAGTATATAAGCTGGGTATGTTTGAAATAAATGGTTCGCATAGATTCGTATAGCAGTAGCTGTAATCGGTGTTCTGGACTCAATTGGAAGGGCTAGGCGGACAAGGGACCAATAAGGACGCTATACTGCTCATACTGGTCGAACATCATTGTTTTGGCACGTGCTAAGATTGGAAAAGTCGTATTCCGATCGTTGGATAAATCACGTGATAAAAAGTCGGACATAAAATCATAACGAATCGACAACAGCCTTCTTTTATAAAGTCATAACACAAATTACAATATCGATGTTATCAAGTTATTTTTTATTAACGCAATTCAAAATAATCGCATTAAAATTCAACTCACTTTTTTTCATTAATTTAGATTTAATCTATAAACGATTTTTTAGTATGCATTTACTGCTTTAATTAACACTGATACAGTACATACAGTACTCATAAAAAATCTATAGAAAATCCAAGAGTTCAGAAAAAATGTTTATTTTTACTCCGACAAAATTTACATATACAGTGACCAACTTTTACTAAATAGACATTCGGATAACAATAAGCTAGGATACGAATGAAAGTACCACGACAATTCCATTGGAATTAGTAGTTATAAACAAACGATTAGCTAACTGAATTCGGAAAAATGATGTTTTCATCTTAGCACAATTTTAAAAAATGGATGGGACGATATTAATACGTGCTGAACGGCACTGTGACCAAACAGAAATAGTTTTATGTAAAAACATAGGCAACTAATACAAAATTTCATGCTAAAAAAAAGACAATCAATCACTCGAAGTTAAGTGTAAAATATAGTTTTGGTTCACACGCTGAGGAAATCACCCAACTGCGTCACAAGACAAGCCCTGACATGGAATCCTGAATGTCAAAGGAAAAGAGGAAGACTATAGAACACATTACGCTGAGAAATGGAGACAGACATGAGAAGAATGAAGAAAAATTGGATAGAACTAGAAAGGAAGGCCCAGGACAGAGTGGGTTAGAGAATGCAGTTCGGCGGCCTATGCTCCATTGGGAGTAACAGGCGTAGGTAATAGTTTTAGTTACCTTGAGACTTATTCTTCTCAGATCTCATTTAAGCTAACATAACGGACGTACAGAAGGAGTATGTCATTTTTCACCGACGCGAGAAGTGTTATTTTATTTCAGCAGCTAAATATCCTACTAACCCCGGGAAGATGAGCAGGTACAGATATAAAGTGTACAAAAGGACTAATAATACCGTTTGATAATGCAGCAAGGTGGCTACAACTTTCAAGCATAAATCAAACCAACAAATACTGACTGTTTTAATAAATGGCATTGTTAATTTTCTCCAACTTTGTTTTACCACAATATGCATGATGATGATTCAAAAGGTGTAAAACATGTATTTTATGCAAACATGACTGGAATTCTGACAAAAAACTAATACGCAGTTAGTGACTCCCAGGAAAACCTATTAAATAGTTAAACGGAAAATAAACAGTTCATAACTAACCTTTACACCAGCGTAATTTGCTGAATCCATCCAAATTAACTGACGCCAGCTAGTTACATACTGCAAGTCCAAGTGAGTGAACAGAGTTCCTTGGCGTGTACGTAATAATTGTGTAAAGTAATCTACGCGTGCTAAAGCTTCAGGTAATTCTATTCTATGAGTAGACATAATAAGGCGACTAAAATTTGCATAGATTACGTCCACATGAAAGTGAGTTATTTCATCGACCAATTTAAGAAATACCTGAGGAAAAAGTGAGTATATATATATATATATATATATATATATATATATATATCTGTGATTTACAATGTTTGAAGGAAAATGGAAAACTAAACTTGATTCAAGTACTGAGTATAAATCAACTGCAGAGTGAATAAAAACAAGATATTTCGTGAGGTTGTACTCATTGAAATCGATGGTTTGATTTAGAAGCACTTACTGTCATCGATCACACCTGGAAAGACAATAAATAAAATTAAACTATTCGATTTATAGTACGAAACGCCACTAAAAGCACTAAAACGAGCTACAACCCTTTCCACCGTTTCAAAACCTGATCCTTCAGTAGTTATGGAGACTAAGTTATCACCTAAGTCCTTAAGTTTTAAACTAAACGATGAGCTATTTCAAATAAATGGGTTCAAGTCGATTACCTATATGGCATAATGACTATTTTTTCAAAATGTAAAAATAGATGTCGATAGCATTGCAAGAATTGTATAATTTTAAATTAAAAAAACTTGGGTGGTCGATATTTGTAATCAGCTATAGACCAAAAACTAAAAAATCCAGAATCGAGAGTAAAAATAATAATCGTTTACATAGCACATTAGGAAACTGAAACATATCCTATTGAGCACAAAGAAACAGATTACATTGGTCTCACAATCATTTTATTGCCTAAGGACTAGTAACTCGATTTGTTTTTAAGCCGAGTATTTTGTGACTGTTATAGAAATCAGTACCCGTCAAGACATAACACATTCACTGGTTTATATTTAAACGTACTATATATTTGATCGTTAAATTTAGTGATTAGTTTAAACCAATTAAAATACAACTAAATACGTTGAATGATAACTTAAATGATTAACATTCTTAGCTTAAAACAATAAGTCAACTGTGGCAGAAAACCAAAAAGGATAACGAGGTATTAGATTGAGAAACCGCGTTTACGCTTACTTGCGGACTTCTCAAAATATTTTCATTACAAAGTAAGCCCCTGAATTTTACTTGAAGAATGGTGGAATCGAAAAATGAGTTACCAGAAATAGTCATTATCAAAAGAGAAAAGCTTACTTTCTTCATTAATTTTTGAACAGTGCGTCTTAAAGCAGGATCATAGAATAATGAACGAGGTGATCGAAGCCATTGGTAAAAATAAATAATTTGTTCATCGGCCAAAGGATTTTGGTATTGTGTAACATCACGAACCCAAGCAAGAACCATATTGCTAAATACAAGAAATGTTGTCATGATCAGTACCAAAGTTTGACATGAAGATTCCAAAAAAACCATAGGGTGGATCATATATAGTAAAAATATGGATATATTTACAATGCCCCAATGAGTAGACGACTGAATTTTTGACGTTTTGACACTTAGTGTACGTCGGTCCTCCATCGAAAAAATAACTGAATTATATTAACAAATTCATATCTCAATTAATGCACCATCACATGCTTCTGTTTTATTGAGAATAGGTTACCTAGATATTCCATCAAGACTTATAGCCCCCAAATGCCCTAGTACGACCGAGAATGGGGAGACTCAGCTCTCTTTCTTTCTCTCGAAATGCTCTCACATAGCCACCTGCATACAACTACTACTAGAGAAGTCCTACCCACTGCCTTCTCGCGCCACGGGTGTTGTCTACGAAATTCAGAGGAAGAAAAGCGAATGTCCGGCGCTCTAACTGGGTCGGTGGACGCGAAGCGTCCATATAGGGAAGTTGGAAAACCCTGACTCCAAACAAATGGTGCACATGGGCTCCAGGGTCCTGAAAGAACAAATGGCATATGAACCAATCGTTGGTCACAAGCTATCATGATACTGCATCTCCTTACGTTGCTCCACTGCCTTGTGGATTAGACCTTTAGATCAAAGGTTCGGGGAGTGGCCTCCTAAGAAAACCATCTGCTTCGGTCTGGGCCCCCGGGAGGTATCACAGCCTGCACATAGATCAAGTGACTTGTGTGGCACATATATATTTGGTGCCTCCTTGTACCATTCTTTATGTGTTTAAATAAATAAATATAGTGGACTTGACAAACACAAATAGCATACTCCTTTTCAAAATATATGAGCAGCATACTGAAGCTATTTCAAGCAAACGGAACATCATTAAAGATTATAATGATTTAAAGTTCAAGATTAATGAACGAATAATCACACTAAGTGACACTGGTGAGCTATGATGAGCCGTAATACACTAGTTTTCTAATCCCTAAATGCCTTAAGTCTATGAATCGTTTAATAAAGACAAAATTTAGGCTTATTATAGTGAAGAAAGTTATTCTATTTAAATACTTGTTTCAGATGCAGTCTTTAATAAATCAAAGGCACATTTGTTTCTAGAAAATGGGCAGGAACTGATACATGCTTAACTCATTTTAAATTTATCTTTAAGTTCTGAAGTATGAGCACATTTGGATAGGTTTTTTATGCAGATTCAAGTGGTGAGACGAACAAACTACCAAGGAAGCTAGGAGAAACGTAAAGTTTATCAGGTTTCCAGAAGTGCCTGGTTGTTTGAATGAGCAAGTTTAATATTATCAGCTCTATAAAAAATGAACAAGTAGGTTTAGAGTTTTCCAAGCAATGTGAGATTTTCTACGGAACTGATGAAATTCGAAACCCGCAGTCGATTATCTACAATCACAGTGTTCGATTATGATATTATTATTTGCAATACGAATAGTATAAAACGCAGTATGATAACTGTTAATGTTTAATGACGAATAGAAATGGAATATTTGTTATTTTCTTACCGAAGAATGCGAAAGGCAGCACTACACGCAGCTGTTTCATCGTAGCTTGTAATATGTGTACCTAAATTAACACCTTGATTTAACTGCTCTTCAAGAGTTCTATCTGAAGCAGATAAACGGTCGAACGACAATAGTGTAGCACCTTCCAGTTCTGGAATACGATTCGCTATTATCAAAGTATTTACAGCCAAATTAGTGAATTCCAATTCAACATTAACATATGGATAAAGACCAGGTCGATTGATTTCAACTACCTATGAAGATATGTAAAACAACCTTGAAATCAAAAGCAAGTAGTAAAGTATTTGATTTATAATAGATAAAACTCTTAGTGCTATAGTTTCAGCACAAAAAAGTATATATGAATACCAAAGAAATCAAGTAAACTTGATAACAAGCCTGAAATAACTGACTAATAAAAATATCCTTTGGAGTGCTCTGTCCAGAGTTTGAGGTGCTTTCAAAGAGTACAATTTGGTGTACTGATAGCCCTAAAGATTGTCTCACTGACAAGATTCCTTACATTAGTAGTTTGGGTCAACTGGAAGAGTCAGATGCAGCTACTACTTCCAATTTGTTAGCCCATTGTGACCGACAGGATTCGCATTCTTCGCATAAGTTTTGTGAAGGACTTGCGAGGATTATCAAATCAGCGATCAACTGGAATAAACCGGTGTCCGTCAAGAAGCCACAAGTAGTTTACGAATTCCAGTGTTAAAAGGTAGAACGTTTCGAAAAAATTGTTTCATCCGCCGTTTGTTAACTTTTTGTAAACGGAACTAGTTTATTTACGCTTTATAATGGGCTCACAGCTAGGTATTAGGACTACCTTGGTTTTATATTAAGTTTCAATAGGTGACCGACAAAACAGTTGACAAGGCTCTGATTAACACTAAAGAAAACGGGTTCTCATTATCTGAACTGTGATCAAAGAGTTTCTCATTTATTGGACAAGTTTAACTACCTGAAAAAGCAATGGCGCAATTTTGTGATCCTTTTAAAGTGACATTCTAGTCAGTTTTTCAGGAGAACACCCTTCAAAAAATCATTTCTCCTTATTAGTTCCTTACTCCATTCAAAATGCTAGTATTTCAACCAACTGCCAAATACTTTATAAATGTATTTAAGCGCATTAAACTTGTAGTTAGATCAGCTAAATTATGGTTAGCTGATGAATTTTCATTTTAATAAATTAACCATGTTATCCGGTCAGCCTGAGGATCGATTAGTGCATGGAGATACACGGATGTGAATAATACAATGTTATACCACTATTTTTTTTAAAAACTATGACCCGGCTTCATGTAAGTCAACTTGCAATCTTGTCAATTATTATCTGAGTTATTCAAGCAGAGTTCAGTTGTTCAATATAACTACGTGACAATACTTAATTACATCAGAGTGATTTTGAACCAATTCTTCCTTGTCCTCGACCAATCAATCTTTTCGAGTACATTTTTCTCTTGGGAAAGTCTGGGTTAGGAAAAGTGAAAGGAAACTCCGTTACTCAGTGTCTCTGAATCGACGCTGAAACGTTTCATCGTTTGAACAAGCCCTATCACAACTGAACATACTAAGGAATTTTCCTATGATGAATCCACACTAATTCTGTGAAGGTCTGAGATAACACCAAGCTATTCAAATCAAAGTAATCAGAGCACAGTTTCAAGCATAGGATTTAATGGTTGAGACTTGAGTATAAACAGTCGTTCTACTCCATCACCTAGAATGCTTCGGTTCTGACCGCTGAACAAATTCCACCGATCAAAATGTTTAATGTGGACAACAAAAAGCAGACAGACGAAGTGGTAGATCGTATGCGTTTAGTGTCAGGCAATGAGTTCATCATATGCTCACTAATATGTTAAAATGTATTTAAAATCATAACATTAACTTACTCCAGATTCTTCCATTTCAAGTAAAAGACGTTGATCGTCTGTTTCTTTCCCACCCAAATCTGGACGACCAGAGGACGAACACCAAAGGACATGATTATGCTTAACCAAATGTCTAGCGTAAAACAGATCACAACCAAGTTCAATAGCATTTATAGAGCTGGCAGGAGGTTGAATATCTTGACTTGGAGCAGTCAATAAAACGGGTAAAGGAGCTTCAGAAACTGGTATATTCCCAACAGGAATGTGTAAATAACGCGCCAACTCCAATTGACGTTCGAGACGTGCTTCCGACTAAAATTATTATTGGTGAGTTTAAAAGATTAGCACTTTGCTCTTGAAGAATATTACATTATTTAGTGCCAACAAATGCCCTAGTACGACCGAGAATGGGGAGACTCAGCTCTCTTTCTTTCTCTCGAAATGCTCTCACATAGCCACCTGCATACAACTACTACTAGAGAAGTCCTACCCACTGCCTTCTCGCGCCACGGGTGTTGTCTACGAAATTCAGAGGAAGAAAAGCGAATGTCCGGCGCTCTAACTGGGTCGGTGGACGCGAAGCGTCCATATAGGGAAGTTGGAAAACCCTGACTCCAAACAAATGGTGCACATGGGCTCCAGGGTCCTGAAAGAACAAATGGCATATGAACCAATCGTTGGTCACAAGCTATCATGATACTGCATCTCCTTCCGTTGCTCCACTGCCTTGTGGATTAGACATTTAGGTCAAAGGTTCGGGGAGTGGCCTCCTAAGAAAACCATCTGCTTCGGTCTGGGCCCCCGGGAGGTATCACAGCCTGCACATAGATCAAGTGACTTGTGTGGCACATATATATTTGGTGCCTCCTTGTACCAATCTTTATGTGTTCAAATAAAAATAAAATAAAGAACAATAATAAAATGGCATGATTCTTAAAAAAAAACCTTTACGATCCATGAGATTAATTCTTACCTGTAAAAAATAACGAATACCCCGTTTTACAGCTGTTTGTTGCCAATTCAAAAGACTATACGCGTCCGTGCTATACTCTAGATCGCCTATTTGGGATTCACCCTCATCCATAGTACCACCAAGCTGAATTACAGGAAATCCAGACAAAACAGGCAATTGAGGGCTACGACGACGCCCAATTATCTCATCATTTAGTGGCCAATTCACTTCATTTGGACCGCTTGAGATATCTTGTTGTGTAGCAGATAGAGAAGAATGGAGCAAAATAACAATTGGTGCAGCTGACTGAGAGCTAGTTATGTTTTCTTCCTTGGAATTCTGCTCTCGTGCACCCATACTTTTACACAAACTAGTAATCCAACGTTGGACTATACGACGACCAATAACTGCATCTGATTCAATGCGCACTTCAAAATTTAAAGTATCCGGAGGGAATTCTCCGTTTTCAAAATGAGGAAAACACTTGGCACGTTGTCTCAAATATAATACATTTAAATCCGGTAGCTGATTAATTCTTGCACTATCAATTACACAAACATAACCACATCTAGTCCATGGTACAATCAAAAGGTAAAGCTAAAAACAAAGTTATTTGATAGAATAGTTTTTAGTCACCATATACATTTACGTTTGTGAGTGTTTATAGAATATTGCGAATTTCTTGTCAACCGGCCATGGACTTAGAAGTTTGTGGGAGAATTATTAAGCATGTTCATGAAGACCATAAATCACGAAAAAATGTATTGATAAATTCATTTGAATATTCAATATATGAGAAGTCTATCATTGTGTAGACAAGTAATTATGGAAATCCTATCAGGGAACTAATGATCACATAGTACTCAGAAATTTGAAAAAGACTCAACCAAGACTTCATGTTAAGTTGACTATTATACGATGCTATTCAGTCTTGTAGGCTGCGGAAACTCTACAGTGATACCTTGTACATAGTAAGTTGTTTACCCCAATGTTGAAGAATGAATGGAAATATATAAACAGTCCCGAAGAATATCGCCCATACATTCACTACACTACTAACAAACGAATGGACTTAATTTTTTAACACCTTTTAATAATGTATTTAATAAACAGAAAATATCAAACTATGTAGTAACAGTAAAACGTACTTGTCTTTGTGAATCTTTTTTTGTCATGGCCTGTCCTACTGAAGGCAACTGATAGTGAAATAAGAATAAGTGCCTCAGGCTGCGACCAGATAAATATGGATGTTGAGCCAAAGAACAGAAACATAGCTGGTCCAGATTAAAACTGCCTTCGTCCGAAACTGATCCATGTTGGTTATTCCTAAAAGCTTCCCGGTCAACTGTACACAAACATCCTACTTTCATTAGAATACGAAATAAACTTGGAACACCAAGTTCATACACACCTTCAACATCTGGCCTTGCTAAATCCGTAGCAATTTCTGAAGCGTGTTCAGTGTAAACACTTTCTGGAACGTTGTACTCGTACAGATGATAAACTGTGTGATTTCTAGGAAGAATAAGACCACTTGCACTTCTGGTTTCATTACCTATCGATACATTGCCAGACACTTTACGGAAGAGTGGGCCAGAGTCCTTGGGTTTTGGTGTACGCATATTGACATAGAAATTTCTGGATACTGTTATATCTACAGCATTTAGCGAAGGAACTAACCCAGATTCAGGTGAATTAATCAAAACCCATAGTGTATAGTGGCCAATTTGCCCAGGATCTGGAACAATCTCAATAACCTTAAAATTGCAGGTAAGAAAATGGACGAACAAGTGACGGGTATAATATCTGTCTATAAAACGAAGACAACGGATAATACACAGAATATAATGTACGGAGTACGACTAACTTAGGTAAATAATCATAAGAGTATTAAATTTTACTTGAAAATTAGCAAAATGAAGTTTTAGGTCCTAACAAGGAATATCATGTGACGGTCTGTAATTCATCAATAATCTAGTTAACTGCTGTTCATACAACCCAGCAATGTATGTTTAAAATTAAGTTACAAATAAATAAACATATAATTGAAATGACTGGTGAAGAACAAACACACAAATTCAGTTACTATGGTAACTTAAACAATGGAAGCGATTGAGGAGTAATCATCCAGAGAACATGTACAACTTGTTATCAATAGGATGAGCAAAATGATAATAAACCTTTAGTGATAACAAAAACAGTCGTGAATCAACTCAAATTGTAGTGACAGTAATGATAATCCCAACAATATTTCAAGGTGGGAAAATCACTTCTATTAGCTCGACTGGATATGATATCAATAGCCTCTTTAAGTTAAACAAACTTGGATAAAGACTCTATGTAAAAATAAACTGCGTGCGTTGAGCTAAAATTGATGTCTTCTATTAACTTGATGAAATCAGTTTGACATATGTAACGTAGAACCTGGTACGTATGTGCATCGTTCTACGTTGTCATGCATCAGTGCAGCGAGATGAAATCATCGAGAAGGTAGTAGAGGCATTAGTAGTAGTAGTCAGTGATATAAAAAAGAAAGCAGGTATGAAGAATATTTAATTTATTTATTTATTTATTTAAACACATATATATTGGTACAAAAGGGCACCAGGTACATATGCGCCACACAAAATAATGAAAGTAGGAAGAGAAGGGATGAAAAGATAAGGCGGGCTGAAATGTACAACCAGAAGACTCTTTCAGTTAGGAAAGTTAGAACCATTCTTTATGTAGAAAGTGAAAGAAGGTTGCAGCAGGATCGCCACTGGCTTCTATTCTGAGCCATATCTGATAACGTCTCTAGCCACTGTGTTGCAATATCTCTCGGACCCCAACCAGGGAGTCGTGAAGGACCAACAGAAGCTAGCCCTTTGCAGCTCTCTTTCATGCCACGACACCATGTCATACACTGACCTCCTCTCCGCTTTTTCCAACCAGTCCCAGGGTCGGCAAATAATGCACGACGTGGAAGTCTCTTGGACGACATTCATAAAACATGTCCAAGCCACCGAAGTCGGTGTTTCAAGATGGCGACACCAATTGAATTATCGTCTCTGCGCCCCAACACACGATGCCGAACCTCTGCATTACTAACATGGTGTTGCCACTGGATGTCAGCAATCCTTCGGAGACAACGATGATCGAACACAGAGAGACGTCTAACATCCTCAACTCGGAGAGGCCAGGTTTCACAAGCATAGAGCAAAACTGCTCTCACCGACGCGTTGTAGATCCGACCTTTTACAGCCAGACTAACATCATGAAGGCGCCAAAGATGGCCCAGATTGGCATAAGCCGCTCTAGCTTTCCTTATACGTGCATCAATCTCATCACTCACGCCACCACCAGCACTTATATAGCTACCTAGACACACGAACTTCTCAACTACTTCGATCTCCTCACCATCCAGGGTGAGTACAGGATGAGAATCCTGCCAGTCTTGTAGGAGTACTTTGCACTTCGGAGATGCAAAGCACATGCCGTACCTGCGGACACTGATTGCCAACTGATTAAGTGCGCATTGCATGCCTTGGGCATTATCGCACAGTAAGACAATATCATCCGCATACTCAAGGTCGAGAAGTCGTTCTCCAGGCAACATATCCACACCGCCATTACTTACATCCATCAGAGCTGTTTCTAGGATGTCGTCGATGGCAAAGTTGAAGAGGAATGGTGAGATCGGGCAACCCTGCCTAACCCCACTGCTCGAATGGAACAAGGGAGAAAGGTGGTTGTATGCCCTCACTCTGCCTGAGGTGTTCGTGTACAGGGCCTTTAAGATGTTAATGAACTTCTCAGGCACACCCTTCTTCAATAGACAATCCCAGAGAACAGTCCTGTCCAACGAATCGAAGGCAGCCCTGATATCAAGAAACACTACGATTGTTGGCCTGCGATAAGTATGACGGTGTTCTAACATTTGGCGGAGGGTGAAGATGTGATCAATGCATCCTCGACCAGAACGAAAACCAGCCTGCTCCTCGCGAGTCAATCGTTCTCGGGTTTTAAACAACCTACGAAGAATGATAGAAGCCAATAGTTTGGACGCAATCGAAAGTAGACTTATCCCCCGGTAGTTATTGCAGGAACAACGTGAACCCTTTTTAAAGATAGGGACGACTATTGACTCATTCCATGATGTTGGAACACTTTCCTGCTCCCAAACCTTTGCAAACAACACAGTCAATTCCTTAGTCAGAAAGTCACCGCCATCTTTAAAAAGAGCCGGAGGTAAGTCATCTGGGCCAGGTGATTTATAACGTTTCAAGAGTTGGAGTTCCTTGCGGACTTCCGCCTCGTTTGGTGGATCAGTCGTCACCGGCCATGGGGGGCAGGACAAGCTGGTTGATGTTGCCGGAGCAGCAGGCCAGTTGAACTGCCCTTCGAAAAATTCCGCCCATCGTCCAAGACGTCGACAGATGTTAGTGATTGGCATCCCGTCATCCTCGTAGATTGTTTCACTCACACCAGACTTCTTGCTGCCAGTGGATCGGATGAGTTGGAAGAGCTTCCGGCAGTTACCAGATGCAGCTGCTGCTTCCATCTCATTAGCACGCTCCGACCACCAGGCTTCTCGGTCCTTACGCAAGCTTTGCCCAATTTCATTACTTAACGGCCTTCGTTTGTGGTCAAACTCACGGTCACCCGGAGTAGACCGACGGGCTTCCATCAGTTGTAAGGAGCCAGTGCTTGTAAGCGGGACGTTTCGCGAAGCCGCAAGCGGCTTTACTCGCCATTTTCATGGCGTCATGAAGATGCAACCAATGCTCATCTATACTTTTCGGTGGGGTGGTAGCTAGCCTTGAGGCTAGCTCCGCTCGATACTTACTTGCAACAGAAGTTGCAGCCAGTTTACTAACATCAATCCGTTGTAGGTGGTCAATCCTCCGGCCACTGAAAAGTAAGGTGAGATTGGCGCAGACCAGGGCATGATCAGACTCCAGATAGGTACTCCAAAAGGAGCGGCAGTCTTGTACACAACCACGCCAGCGGTAGCTGATCGCGATGTGATCAATCTGAGTCCAGGCTTGGGATGCAGAGGGAGGACGCCAGGTGGCACACCGGCGATGACTGTGCCGGAAGTTAGTGCTGGCCAGAAACAGGTTGTGGTCTGTGCACAGTTGCAGCAAACGGTCCCCGTTATCTGTCCGGCGACCAACAAGTCCCCATCGGCCACCTAGACGACTCTCTTCTGTTCCTAGACGCCCGACCTGAGCATTCAAGTCTCCGGCTAGTACTACAATATCTGCCGAACGCGCTTTCTGGAGAAGAACTGTTAACTGATGGTAAAACTCATCCTTGATTGCATCCGGGCTGCAATCTGCCGGGGCATAGGCGGAGATGACGAGAAGACACCGTTTCTCACGCCGATTTCTTCTCACTTTGATGGAACTTTCTAATCCAACAGCACATAACCGACTGTTAATGGGGATCCAATCGATTAGTGCTGCCTCAGCTCTAGCGCTTAGTGCGACACCAACGCCAGCAAGACCAGACGAAGATGCCACAGGGTCCCCGGATAAGCGCACGTGGAACAAGCTCTTCGAGGCGACAGATGGAGAGCGGATTTGTAGTACTTCACTAGAGTCTTGAATACGGGTCTAGGATAGACAACAAACGTCAACATTAAGACCTTCCAAAGACATAGCCAGCCCTATCTGTTGTCTGATCTGCATTAGTGTGCGAACGTTGAAGGAAGCCAGCTTGAACGGCGTACGTGGTTTCAGAAAGACTGCTTCAGTATTGATTAACCAGACACTGACTGGAGATCGTTTAGATAGGACAGATTTTCCACCATGGGCGAGCTGCTGCATAAGTTGAAAAGTAAGGTTACACAAATTGGGGATAAAAGGGGGTGAGTTAGCGATATGGTAAATAATAATAATAATAATAATAATAATAATAATAATAATAATAATAAAGGTAATAATAATAATAATGTTAATTGTCTTGCTTTTAGTATGAGCAGGGATCTTATCGTCAATAGAGTTCATCATTTCATTCATTTGTGTGTGGGCTGTGATACTGCCCGGGTGCCCAAACCGAAGCAGGTGGTTTTCTTAAGGGACCACACCCCGAGCCTTTGACCTAAAGGTCTGATCCACAAGGCCATCGAGCATCGTGAGGAGATGCAGTCCCATGGTTGCCGTTGACCAATGACAGGTTCTTCCGCCATTCGTTCCATCAGGATACTGGAGCCCATGTGCACCATTGGTTTGGAATCAGGGTTTTCCAACTCCCCTAGGTGGACCCTCCGTGTCCACCATTTAATGCATATCACAGTACTACAAGACTGTATTTTTAAAGGCGCTTCGCGAACACAAAGTAGGAGAGGGAGCTGCTGCACTCAGCGTACCAATGTAAACACCCAATGGCATGGGTGGACATTGTTGTGTCGCTTAACAACTCGTTGTTTATTACGTACATACTACAGAACAAACCACTACTGCAACTCTTCTAAAGTTACTGCCGGTCCCAGGCACATACAAAAAGGGAGGGTTAGGTATGGGGTCAGCAACACTATCCAGTAGAAAAAAATCTTGCTAAAAACACCCAAACCAGGCTAAACAAATTAAACCATTTAAACTCTGCCCTGGGAGTTGAAAGAAGAATTATGACGCCTCAGAATGAAAGCCGAAATCCTTCGGAAGTCATAGGGCCGATGTCCCTTCTAACAACCAGAGCAACAATTAATATGGGTATATGGAACGTCTGGACAATGTGGAAGACCGGAAGGACTGGTCAAATAGCGACGGAAATGAGGAGATAGAACTTGAAAGTACTCGGAGTCAACGAAACCCATTGAACCCAAGCTGGAAAGAAAAGTTTAGGTACGGGAGAAATGATGCTGTATTCCAGTCACGAAGAGGAAAATGCTCCACACACTCAGGCAGTTGCTCTGATGCTGTCCAAACAAGCACAAAGAGCACTTATAGAATGTGAATCTCATGGACTCAGAATCATCAAAGCATCATTCAAAACAAAGAAGGGGAGAAACACAACCCATGTCATCCAATGTTATGCACCCACTAATAATAGCAACGACGACAACAAGGATCAGTTCGTTCAGTTTGGGCACTTGGGCAGTATCACAGCCCTCACACAAATCAAATGAGATTTGTATGGCGCATTTATATCTAGTGCTTCTTGGTACCAATATTTATGTGTTTAAATAAATGAAATAAAATTCATTATGAGCTTTCATTTAACCTGTCGACTACTATTATACGATTTACCACACTTAACTTATTCCCAATTTATTAGTTACAGTGTCTCACAATCACAGTCACTTTTTAGACTGGTTTGTATAATAGTTATTTTCTATTTTATGGTATGATGTGGACTGGTTGGTTTGTGTACAAATCAAGTACGCCTGAAATACATGATTCAGATAACCGAAGCCGATATTGGTGTTCTGAACTGAACCGGTTGGGTTAGGTAAGAAACTACTATATCGGGGACTAATAAGAACTCAGAATTGACTCTAGGCTGCTCGTACTGATTTATGAGTCTTTGGTCTGATTAATAAGTGGGTATTCTAATTGGCGATAAGTCAAGGGATATATTCGCGGAGCATAAGCGCATTACACGAGGCAAGCCCTGATTTGGAATACTTACACCTGTTATCCCTCATGGAGGAGCATAGGCCGCTCACCAGTATTCTCCATCCAACTCTGTTCTGAGCGAATTCGGAATACTTAATATCAAAGGAAAAGAGGCAGCTGAAAAACACATAGCTCAAAAAATTGGAAGCAGGCATTAAAACTATGAACTAAAAAGAAGAGCCCAAGAAAGAGTGGTTTTGAGATGCCTGGCCGACGGCCTGACTCCATGAGGGGTGGCAGGGTTTTAGCAAATAGCGATAAGCTTAAAGAAACACAACAAATTAATGATCAACGATTCTACTATTTCTAGAAATATCTGGATCAATACTGTAGAGCAAAATAATTTTAAAAACGACAAATACCAAAAAACGTATGTTACCTGCCATACGGCTGTGAATAGATTTACTCGAGTTTGGTTCAAATATCTGGCCAAACCACGCTGTCTTTTAGCAGATGGTAAGAATGAATAACCATGGTCGGAATCGCCATTTATTTTCGCATTACCCATAGATTTAGTGAAATATTGACGCTGTTCTAATTGGAAATGCCACTTAGCTTGATGAAACGCTAGCCATTCAGTCAATTTTTTCGAAGTATTAGCATCATCCAAGTTTGGAGGTTCACCTAACTGTTCTCTCCATGATTTGAAAGGACCGTTAGGTGATCGAAATCGTTTTACAGGGAAATGGCGAGTGACGATGGGTGTAGTGGACTTAACTTTCTCGTCATTTCTTGAACATAGTGTTTCTAGATCTGGTAAGTCAGTAGTTTGTTCTTGAAGTTTATTTGTCACTGGATTTTTTAAAACAAACACTTCTGTTAGCTTCCGTTGTTTACATGTATCCATTTTTTCAGCTAATTTACGAAGTAACCAATCAGGATGATTAACTCTAGGTACTGGATTAGAAACCTGCTGTAAAGCCGCTGGGATTGTGATAATTTTTTGGATAGCACTCGACAAGCGTTCAATATAATAGGACCAATCAAGTATTTCACGTATATCAGTATGCTCATCAAGATTCGAATCTTTGAGCCACTTTTGAAGATAATGACGTTTTATTGATCCTTCTGCCTAGTAAATATAACAGGAAAAACAAAGAACCGGGAAAGGTAGAAAATATTCAACCTAACTTCTATCAGCCACCTAGGTAAAAATAACCATAGAAGTATTATTAAGGGTTTTTGTGATTGATGCGACGAAATTTTCGATTGTTTAAATCAATGTGTAAAATGTTAATCATTAAGTGAGCTTAGTGATATGATGTGACTGAATAATAGTACAATCACAAAGCAATACGATGAAGGAGAATTCATGAGCATTATAGATGTCCTCGTACGTAAAATTTCATGAGTGATCATCATAGGAAAATTTCAATCACAAAGTACTCGGAATAACTATTTCCCTAACTGTGGAGAAAAATGTTGCACACTCTGAAATAAAGGGATCCAAACGATATGCAAAATTTAAAGAGTTCTTACGTAAGAAGTGTCTCCTTATAACTGGAATTCTTAATATCCTGTGACTATACTATCCGTATTCAATAAAAATAACGTAAAGATTTGAAAAGCCTTTAAGACTGAAGCATTAAATCACGTCTACCTGAAATATAGCTAAAGGGATAGCTCGTTCAGTTACTGGAGCACCATCGGGCTGTCGTGCAATGATATAACGACAAGATAAACCGGCATCTTTAACAATTTGGTCTCCTAAAAATTCAGCCATTCGTCTAGCAGTACTTAGAGATGTCGATTTCTGACTTCCATAATCTTCCAATTTTCTGGACATGCTTCGATTTTCCGAAATCAAATCGAACAATTCAGAATCTGGCATATCAGCTCCTTTAGAGTAAAGTACATCCAACCAATGATCAGCAACACTAGCTACTGATGAATAAGCTTCAACTAAACTATCCCCACGAAGAAACGCCTCAAACACAGATGACTGAAATATTTTAATCAGCTGTAGTTCACCGTTCCGTTTAATCTCGAATCCTTTCAATTCTGCTAAACTCCCATCGAAATTGAAAACAGCGTAACGTTTTTTTAGACGTTTTCCTTCTTCCTTCGCCGCAGGCAAAACCATAGCTTTATATGGACCGTCAACTTCAAAATATATGGAGTTTTCAGAACGAATTTTGTAAGTAAGAGTCTCTTGGTCAACTAATTCATGATACTGATGATTGGTGAAAAAATCTTGCACCATGATGTTCAACAGAGCTCCAGGATATGAAATTGAAATACGAGATGGCTTTGAAGCGACAGCAGTAAATTCAATATTTTGCGGAAAACTTGCAGGTAGAATACACCATATTCCATCAGTATCCAGTTCTAAAGCACGGCCGATCTAAAGAAAAGAAATATCAATACCCTGACAATGTAATAAAAAGGGCATTCAAGCTTTACAGACAAAATGCAAATGGGAACTAATGTAAAATAGGTTATGCGAGACACTGCTCATCGAGCCATTATCAAACGCGAAATAGGGCAAACGTAAACTTGCTAACGACAGATTTGTTTTTACATGCTTAAGAAAAGCAAATATCAAGTTACAGTTTCGGGGGAAAACGATCGGGAAACGTTGACGTGACATCCTGAAAATCCTTAAATGATAAATCTTCTAATTGAACGCTAGATTCAGTTCTTCTAGTAACCCTCAGGCTAAATCTACACGGTGACTTGAACACGAGAGAAAAGGAGTGAAATATAGAAGAAACGTTCTACTCCAAGGTTCGTTTATGTACAGAAAATCTAGGGTTTTTATAGTGTTTTAGTAGGCCTTGGGTCTGCGGAAAATCCTGGGACGCTACTAAACATAATAGCAGCATAGGTAATCATCCAATCAGAATGTGACCTTTCACTTTCTAGGTGTTTCTGGCAAAACTCCTAGTGAATGCTGATTAGATAAGACGCTTCTCGGTGTTTTCAGAGCCTTTGTTGGCTTTTTTCGAGGAGTTTTCTGGATTTCCCCAACATTAGCAAAAAGAGTATAAGCCAAATTCCCTTTATACTACTAGAAGACTGACTGGCGTTAAACTAACCGTTCCTAACTCACAAGGAATGAAAACAAAATATAAACCCTGATAATACCTAGGTTTATACGGGGGTTTTTAGATGGTTTTATCGTAATGACCTCATTCACCGATTTATAAACCAAAACATACCCGGTTGTAATAATAATAATAATAATAATAATAATGCTCGCTTTATTCCGTACTGAAATAAAGAATTTATATCAAAAATCTTCTAGCAATCTACACGTAAATTCCATGTACATTAACTACTTCTGTTATCTTGTCGTTTGAACCCGTTAATACTTCGGATTTCGACAATGACGGCTTATTCTCTTAGATCGCTGCATTAGATTTGCTATTAACCGTAGTCGCTTTTTGATATCTTTAGTTAAGTGGTCCACCCTAAAGGTTCATAGACATATTTAAGGATATACATTACTGGACAACGCTAAATCAATAAGAACTCAGGTTGGAGAGACTCATATTTGGTAGGAAAGTTGAAACTGTCTTCGACACTAACAAGGCCGAACAGATTGTCAACAAAAGAAACACAGAGACAAAAGATAATTTCAATCACTAATGTAGGAAAAAACCTTGAGAATTTATAACGGGCCAGAAAGTATATGTTCGTGGTTTCTTTTATTCATCTAGTTGGACTGGTGGTACAATCATAAAACATCAGAGAAGTGTATTATATGTGGTGGAATTAGGTAGTAGGTAGATTTAACATGTAAACTACATTGAAGATTCTGCACAGATAATGAGTAGAATGGATTAAAATTAATGTTTGAAATTCTTCTAAACGGTTTAGATGTAGAAAAATCGACAGCATATAAAAAGTATGAACCATAACAGATACTCGTTAAAAAGTTATTATGAAAACAAAGTTCAAAAATTTCAAATAGATTGAAGCAAGAAATGATAACTCTCAAGGAGAAAAAGAATACGCGACAAATGTTTTGCCGTATTAACATGTATGTTTGTCAACGTCAAACGTCATGATGAACTCCAAACCAATATGGTACTTGCTTTAGGTTCTGAAACATGGTGGGGAGTGGTGATCCCCGCCCAGCAAGTTTCACAATAATGTGATTATCTTCCGAAGTCAGGTTGGGATCACATGAAAAAAAATTTTATTCGGAAAACAAACTGCATCCCACTAACAAAAACGAATACAGTGATAAGCATTTAGGATTTTACAGGTTTTTAGTATCCGTTGATGCATAACTTATTTTTCAATAACCTATTTAGATTTACTTACTTACTTACTTACTTTCGCCTGTTACTCCCAATGGAGCATAGGCCGCCGACCAGCATTCTCCAACCCATTCTGTCCTGGGCCTTCTTTTCTAGTTCTATCCAGTTCTTGTTCATTCTTCTCATGTCTGTCTCTATTTCTCGGCGTAATGTGTTATTTGGTCTTCCTCTTCTCCTTTGACCTTCAGGATTCCATGTGAGGGCTTGTCTTGTGACGCAATCGGGTGATTTCCTCAAAGTGTGCCCAATCCACTTCCAGCGCTTCCTCCTGATTTCTTCCTCCGCTGGAATCTGGTTTGTTGTCTCCCACAGTAACTTGTTGCTGATAGTGTCTGGCCATCGGATCCGAAGTATCTTGCGTAGACAACTGTTAATAAACACTTGTATCTTCTGGATAATGGCTTTCGTAGTTCTCCACGTCTCCGCCCCATACAATAGAACTGTCTTGACATTTGTATTGAAAATTCTAACTTTGGTGTTGGTTGACAATTGTTTTGAGCTCCAGATGTTTTTCAGTTGTAAGTATGCTGCTCTTGCTTTGCCGATCCTCGCCCTCACATCTGCATCTGATCCACCGTGTTCATCAATGATGCTGCCCAGATATGTAAACGTTTCCACATCCTCCAAAGCTTCTCCGTCAAGTGTAATTTGATTGGTGCATATTGTGTTGTATCGGAGAGTCTTGCTTTTCCCTTTGTTTATATTGAGACCTACTGCTGCTGAGGCTGCTGATACACTGGTCGTTTTCTCCTGCATTTGTTGTTGCGTTTGTGATAGAAGAGCCAGATCATCCGCGAAGTCTAGATCGTCAAGCTGCATCCTGCCTGTCCACTGTATCCCGTGCTTTCCTACAGTCGTTGACGTCTTCATGATCCAGTCGATCACCAGGAGAAAGAGAAACGGTGAGAGTAAGCAACCTTGCCTAACACCAGTCTTTACTTCAAACGAGTCGGTGAGTTGTCCTCCGTGGATGATTTGGCAGTTTAGTCCATCATATGAGTTCCGTATGATATTGACTATTTTCTCAGGCACGCCGTAGTGTCGAAGAAGCTTCCATAGTGTCGTCCTGTCCACGCTATCAAATGCCTTCTCGTAGTCGATGAAGTTGATGTACAGTGATGAATTCCATTCGATCGATTGTTCCACAATGATTTAGTTATTGAGAAAAACTTCGAAAATTCAAATGTACATATGGGAATGGTAGGTTTATACACAGAACCTTTGAATGGAAAAGTTCAAACAAATCCACTCATATTAGACCTCAGAAGTAGTTCAGAGTTCTATATAAAAAGATGATGGGTATGTTTTTGTTAAAAGAACACTCAAACTGAGATATTCAAAAAAGAAAAAAGAAATATTAAAAAGTTTAAAAAATAACCAACTAACTTGTTCCACTATTTCTCTTGATTTAGTTATGATATTAGCACCAGTATGGCAGACAATGCCGGCCATTTCCATCGAATACCAACGAGCACCACGTCGCATTACATAGCCATAAAAAGAGTTCAGAATACATTTATGTGCTAGTTGAAGGCTATCATATAGTACAAGCATCGCATTAGCCTCTTTTACAGCATTTGAATCACCTGTCCCAGCGGACAGAGCTGCACATGCATCATCGTAATGACGCTTCCATGTCTAAGAAAGAAGAAAACTGCAATAAAAATTGTGAAATAAACAGAAAGACTGAAGATGATCCATGTAAATACATACTACACAGAAAAAAGCTTACATCATGGATCAAAATTAATTGAAAAACAGGCAAAAAAACCATTCATTATAGGACAGACTCTAAAAACTGTAGACCTCATAATTGTTATACCTTTTTGGATAACATGCCAGAGCACATGATAATCGAAGTTCATGGTTGGAAACCGTAGATAACACGACTCAGTATCGATTTCTGGTCAAATGAAGAAGTGGTCTTCATTGAAAGTACAATTACATGAAAACAACTAGACTATTGGGAATAAGTCAACCCCTAGCTAAAAAGTAAAAATGAGCATGATTGAATTAATTTCGACCACAGCATCACATAACGAATGTCGCAATGTTGATGCGCTGATTGGAATTAGATATCGAGACGATCTAATAAGCAGATGAAACACATATTTATTGAGGTCCCACTACCCCAAAAACGTCTGGATAGTGCTAGAAACAAAAGAGTAAAGTTATGGTCCGAAAGTGAATTGCTAGCTAAGCTGATAAAAGCACTAGTTAGTGTATGAGAGTCACTTACTATTCGTTCAACTATTCCTAAAGGTTGACTTTCAGACTCATAAGAACGAGAATCCTGATGCTGATTGGCCACAGATGGGTGACCAATATCATGTTTGTATAGTCCTTAGCTGGTCCTCTAAACTTGAATCCCACACGAGGCAACAGTCCTCCTATGACTACAGATACACCTTGATGACGAATGTCGACTAGCATGAGATCTAGATAAATTGTTTCCTGCCGTTTACCTCCAACCACGCTAAAACGATAATTTTTGTATTAATATCCAGTGCATCAGATAGTCACACAGTGTGGAACCACTATCATTCTTCAACGTCTATCTGAAGGGCGGAAACAACACGTGAACTCGTCGCCAACTATGTAAACACGTTTGTTTACTAACATTGTACGTAACAGTCATTTACATGATCTTTTATTTTACCTGGACTCCATAGACGATACAGTTTCGTTTGGTAAAACTGAAGTCAATATGCAACCTACTCATCGTATATATTTTACCCAACGGATATGATTCTGCAAAGTTTATTATCTTCCCAACTACTCCTTGACTTCTCATACAACGGGAACAAAATATTGTATTAAAACTAGGATGTTCGAAATGGGGTGACTGGGCATACGGAAAATGCTCTGAAGCAAATACTACCAGCAGTATAGATATTTTTGTGGAAACCCTCATCAATGAGTATACTACGTCCAAAAACGTGCATTGTTATTCCATCATGACACAACTTCAAATCACGATAGGTAGCCATCACATTCATTAACATCTTATCAAAATGTAAACTACAGTCCATAATACTCATTGATGCCTATTATAAAATACTTACCTTTGTCAAACCTTTGAATTTATATCGACGGTCACGGAATGCCTTTACTGTATCAACATAAAAAGAATTTTCTCGTTGACAGACCATAGCAATTCGTTCTTCAGTTCTAGTTAAGTGAATACGTTTATAAGCTCGACGGCAATAATCCGTGATACGCTTTTTCTCCACTGCAGCTTGTTCTTCCCTTGACAATTCGTGAAATGACTTCATTACAGTCTTGGGGAACTTTTCATTAGCGTCAGTCAACTTAATGGGAAAGCGTTCTTGGGAAAGTTGAGCATGGATTCGGTAAACTTCCGGTCTGGAGGCTGTCCAGAGCTCTGCACGCCATGTCCACGGCATGAAACGTTGACAGGATATTCCCGGTTTGTAAAATTCACAGTTAGCACACTTAGCAGCAGAACCAGAATCGACAGCTGATGGTTGAAGTCGATTAGTAAGAATAATGTTTGGGTACATTGCACCAACATCCAAGTGATAAATAACAGGACATTCAATTCGGTTAGGTGTGGAGGCCAATTGCTGTAAGGTGTTCTCAACTTGTCCACAAATCTGATGTGTGAAAACAAATAGATCGGAAGCTATAAGCATGGGATATTATTCAAGGGAAAGCATAGATAGAAACTACACCTATATTTAGGAACGTAAAAGTTACTAACCGTGTATTATATGAAAATCTCTAAGACTTAAGTGAGAATGGAACCTTTAGTGGATTAACTTTTTTCACTTCACAATTTTTGCTGGCAAGAATAGTGATAAGCATTGCATTTTTATGTAAGTATTTTTGATATCTATTTAGTGCATCTGTTTCTCAACAAACTAATCAGTATAATAACTTATTATCTGTATAGGACTGTAGAGATTGCTGATTCTCTACTGAGATCAAACGATTGACACTAGACCACCATTGAGGACCTGAAAGCACTGGTAGGTCGTCCCATTCGAGAGTTTGAGCCCCACGTGCGAGAATGTGGATGTACACTGATGAAAAGCCCCATACCAGGACGAAGCGGTCACCAAGTGCTTCCGGGTTTCCAGTGGAGATTGACTGGTTCCAATCATAACTTATTGCATGGGCAGCTTTTAGTGTTATTGCTTACCTGCTCACATTATTTAGTTTGTGAATAAGCGTATCCTATGGGCTCATATAAGTGTAAAACCTGAATTCTCATTGAAGTGTAGTTTGCTTTATTTAGTGATCGTACAACGATTGAATTCTGATGGAGAAATTAAAGCAAGGTACCCGACAAAAATTTACATTCGACACGGCGTCATATGCTTTAACGTTGAAGTTAACATATAGGAATGACGATGTAAATTATCATTAAAAATTGACCACTGTAAAACTTCTTTGAGATATTGTTTTTCAGAAGATACAAAACCTGCAAAAAACTACTGAAATAAGAACCAACCAGAGGCCTTCAAGCTGATATCAAACAGCTCAGCAACTGATTTGTAAATATACAGTAAACGGCTTGCTAACAAACAATCTTCCAAAAATAAAATCCTAATATTAGTATGTAAGAAGTATATCATTACTGAAAACCACTTTTTTCTCTGCTCAAATATATATCCACAGCAGCATTCTAACGGGCATATATACCTGGTGACCCTTTGTACCAATATTTATGTGTTTAAATGAATAAATTCTAACGGGCATAACTTTTTCACAAGCTGGTGGATTGATAGGATTATAAGACATACATCTATTTCAGTAAATAGACAGTATCGTATGAAATAACGCAGCCAATGAGTATATGAAGACAAGTGTTAGTGTATTTTTTGCTTCTCAAGAGTTCATAGTTTTCGAAACTGAGGAAAACCAAAACATCTAACCAACAATTATTTATATCCTAATCTCGAAACAATGAGGGCTTCGCGCAGTACATAAGCAGCTGCATAGGACTAACAGGTGGACAAAATGTGTGTATCTGCTTCGCAATGAACGGCTTAATGATCAAAAATTTTGCCAGTGTGTAACAATGAAGTGATCACAGGATGACAACACAAAATAATTACTGGTAATCCCAAGCATTATAAGTTAATACAACAAACAAAATACTCTGGCAAAATGATAAGTAAAAATGAATTTAGTACTTCAGATCTATACCTTGTTAAAATTATCCTTCGCTATAACACTAAACAATGCATCTTCGTCTTCTGCACCTATCTCCGCCTGTAGAGCCCGACTAATACAACGTTTGACATCAGCTCTTAATGATTCCAAGGCTGCAGGAACTAGACGAAATCTAACGGGTATATCGGCACGAAAAACACCCGCTTCTAAGGCTTCCACATGCCCACCAACATAAGTTTGGGAATCGATAAGATGTCCGTCCTCCGTAAACTTTCCTGAAATTCCAGAGTCACTCAACAACAAATTGTTAGGTCCAGATTCACCATCTGTCTGTTTGTGGGGAAAGATAACATTCGCTGCATAAGCTTGAACCATCAAAAGAGCCTCGCATAGTGTACCAGAGCCTTTACGAAGAACATCATCAGGGTTTAATGGAAGGATTGTACATAATGCGAATACAAATGGATGAACATACTTCATATACAAATAGTAGGTGGCAACTGCATCAGACACTGAGTAATTTGCCAACTCTCTAGGTGATTCGTGAGCCATACGACACATTAATTCTGGATCTACTTCGATTGGGTCATATCGTAGTTTAGCTTTGGCGACAGCTTTAAGACCACGAGCTCCAACGGGAAGATAACTATCACGCTTAACCCAACATAAGCAGTCAATGTGAACTGCTGGTCGTGATAGGTACTCGCCAGAACTTCCATCTCTTCCGGGGCCCACAGTACCTTTCTGACGAGAGAACCCAATTTCTTCGGACATGGAGAGCCCGTAGCTAGCAGCTCGAACTTCGATAAATGGCCAGTCAAAATGATCACCGTTATAGGTAACCAATATGTTTGGTCGAACTCTCTGAATATGTTCAAAGAAAAAGGTAATGCAATCTAATTCTGTTTTTAAATTATGTACAGCGAAATGACCTGGGAACTCTGGTCTTGGTGTGTAGTCAAAATCCTCTATATCTTCTGAAAGGATTTCCCTGTTGCATATAAGATGTCCAGCTCCATCTAACATATATGAGATCATAATTATCTAAAATGGAAACAAATTAGAAGTATGCTAAGGCTAAGTAGAACTATCTAATGTTGAAAAACTACTGAGTACCTAAATCAGCTTGATAAATCAACTTACAGAAATCTTTGTCACCTTAGATAAATTCCCCGTTAACACATAGAAGAACATATATACGCCGATAATTGACCATGAAAGATAAGAGCTATTAGTTGTATTAACCAAGTTATAAACCTTAAAATGGATGAAGCTTCCGAGGTATCATCTGAAATTTAATAATTAGAGCGTTTCGCTCTTTCGTTTTTGTGAAACTCACCCATAGCCAACAAATTTTGACATTATCCAAACTGATAACGAAGAGGCCACTTGGGATTTTTTAAAATGTCTGCGTATATTAACTGGATGGTCAATTATATCATGTATCACAAAACATAAAGGTCACCGTACAAAGATTTGGAGTTAGTCGTTAGTTGGAAAATAACGGCTGTAACACATTTTCTGCATTCATCGCTTAAAGTTTTCGGATGCTGATGGAAGTGTGTACAACGAAATTGTCTGCAATAGTAGACAGGAATAGTTCATAGAAAGTTGGCGTTGAATAAAAAGTTAGTCATCGCGTATGGAAAGATTGTAAGCCACTGAAAACGCTCAGAAAATCAAGGCGAAAATGATTTTACATCTTCAGAGTTCAAATGAACTAAATTTGCTTTCTTTAAAATGATGAAGAGCACTAAGTGTTTTAACCATGACTTCTAATCTCCTTCAAAATACTATCATGTGTTATCTTCTTTCTGCCTGAGAACAGATGACTAGCGAAAACAAAACAGCAAATGAACTCAATTATTTGACTTGGGTTAGAGGTGCTTTACTAATAAACACAAATATGTTGCTGAAATTTGAGTTACAAATATATTTCTCCTACTAAACTTTCAAACAGACAGGAAATTAAGTCTACGTTAAGAGGATGGGTCTAGTATGCACATTTTATTGTCAATGGGAAGACATCAGGCGACAGAAGCAATGATTTAAGGAATCAAAGTAAATAAGCTTGCATCTTGTCAGGTAATAAGATGTCACAAAGACATTCATGGCCAAACTATGAAGTCGTTAAGTGAGCTAGCCAAAAATCGTTTAGATGTTGAAAAATTCTCAGGAACTCTAAAATACATATTTACTTGACAATAAGTACTAGAATCGGAAATATGGAGGGAACTAGGTGCCGTTTATCTTAGATTTGCAGCAAACTACGAAAGAAACCTGTCCAGTGAAATAATAACCTAGTCCCGACCAATGTAATTGATTCTTGTCAAAAACATCCTAATATATTAACCGCAAAGAAAACCAAGAAAACAGACGTAGTACTAACTTGATCGTTTGCAGGATCAGGGAACTTTAAGGGCATTTTGGTAGTCTCAATATCGAATGCCAATACTACAGGTTCAGGCCAAGCCACAGTATCTTCATGATGTTTAAATTCAGGAGGGCATCCAGGCTTACATGTTGTGACATACCAGCAACCGGCAAATATATTCAGGTCAATGCATACACGGGTTAAATAGGGAACATCTGACTCTCTTAGATCAAACAAATTATCAAGAGGATCACTACGGTTCTGCTTCACGCTTAACTGGTTAGTTACAATTCCATAGTCATCATTTCTGAAGTGTTCAGCTAATATATCCGTATAAGAAGACCCCGAAGAGGCCAGCTCACGATTTGCCCGGATCCGAACTCCTAGCTCCTTGCGAACTCTAACCAACTCATCCACACTATAAAACAACATCTTAAGATAAGTAGCTTTGGCCCCAACAAGGTGATTAGGCAAATCTAAATCGTTCTTGGAAACAATTTCAATTCCAGCAAGACGACCGGAGAAACGTTTCAATAAGTACGAGTTGGCGTCACGTTCTGCAGCTTGACCTCCACGAACCAGCACATAGAAATATGGGAGATAAGGTCTCGAGACTTTGAAACGGTTCCCATCTGTTTGAAGAAAATATAGGTCGATACCACTAACAAGTCTTTTCGAGTCATCTAGTAAGTCAGTGGGATGCATGTTTACGAGCCAACCGATGCGCTCGCCAGGACCAACAAATGCTTCGAAGCCGTACCGCCGATCAGTTATTTCGTTAGCTTTTGCTCTCAAATATCGGTGTTCATTTGATTCATTTAGAGCGCTTTCAGCATCTAGTGGTTGTTCTATGTCATTCTTAACACCGGAAATCTGAGCGTCACTTTCATTCTTGGCATAATCGAATTCTTTTTTGAAGGATTTCAAGGGAAATCCTTTTCGTGTGTAATTAAAGCTTCTAGACATCGGCGATGTAAAATACGATCCACAATGCCAATTACCGAGATTGAACGGAGTCAAAGGCTTGAGATGATTGCTTTAATCTTTTGGGTGCGTTGTTTATAGAGGGGGATTTGCATAGAAACGTGTATGACGATCTGGAATAGAAAACATTTGAAACAGTAAGTATGCGCACAGAATTAACTTGAGCTTGTAAATAAAGGCAATAAATAACAACAACAATCAATCACATAGGTGTGAAATCAGGATGACCTTATAACGGTAAATCTGTTAAGATCAGTACTACGTTACAATTTAAATACTTTTAACTGGCGCCGAAGAAGGTGCGTCACTATTGGCTGATTCAGATAGAGCAACTATTGGTTCGCTTACCAAAAAAGATACTAAAACAACTATGCCATAATGATAAATTGTTTATCCACTTACAAAATAATCTAACAGTTTATAGTACTAATTGTCAAAGCACTCATTATCGGATAAGCGAAACCCATTGAACCCAAGCTGGAAAGAAAAGTTTAGGTACGGGAGAAATGATGCTGTATTCCAGTCACGAAGAGGAAAATGCTCCACACACTCAGGGAATTGTTCTGATGCCGTCCAAACAAGCACAAATAGCGCTTATAGAATGTGAATCTCATGGACTCAGAATCATCAAAGCATCATTCAAAACAAAGAAGGAGAGAAACAATCCATGTCATCCAATATTATGCACCCACTAATAATAGCAACGACGACAATAAGGATCAGTTCGTTCGATGATAGACTGAAATCAATCATAGAGAAGTCCCCAGCAAAGGATCATACCATCCTGATGGGAGAACTGAACATCAAAGTCGGAGAGGAAAACACCGGATATGAGGGTGTCATGGGACGACATGGACTAGAAGAAATGAACGATAATGTTGACATTTAATAATCCATGTGCCTGCAACAAATTGGTTATAGGCAACACAATACCCCTTCCCTCACAAATCCATACATAGAGCTACATGGGTTTCACCGAATCACACCACGGAGAACCAGATAGATCATATTTGTATAAACAAAAAATTCAGAAGAACAATGGGAGAGGTGAGAACCAGGAGAGGAGGTGACATAGCTTCAGATCACCATCTGGTTGTGGCCAAGATGAAGCTGAAGCTAAATAAACAATGGACAAATTTGGAAACAGCATTCAAAAGGTTTAATACAGCCTCCCTACGAGATCCTAACAAACGCAACGAATTCAAGATAACCCTCATCAACAGGTTCCAAGCCATACAAGATCTACTGAAAGAAGAAGAAACTACGATGGAGGACAACTGGAAAGAGATCAAAGAAGCACTAGGTTCAACATATTAGGAAGTGCTGGACAGTAAGAAGCATCATAATGAGTAATGAATCTCCACTGAAACCATGGAAGAGATACAAGAAACGAAGAACAAGAAGACAGTAATTAACAACAGCCGAACAAGAGCAGAGAAAATCAAGGCACAAGCTGAATGCACTGAGGCAAACAAGCAAGCGAAGAGGAGCATTAGATCTGACAAGCAGAAATATGTGAAAGGCCTAGTCACGACAGAGGCAAAAGTTGCAAGAGACGGAAATATGGAACAACTATGTGGCACAGCGAAGAAACAGGAAGGGATGATGATGCAACGGATATTCTAGTTTTACAACTAGATACCAGTAGCACCTTCTAAATTCGGTTGTTACCAGTCAGATAGAAAATCAGAAGTCAAACGAGAAGAGGCAGGAAAGATATATTTGATTCGTTACCAATATATCGAGGACCTTTTCTATGAGCTGGCTAATGAAACGTAGGAGCTGTGTCCCACGCAGTATTGAAACGTGATCTGGTGCGGATGCATGACCGAAAGCCTTCAGCTAAACAAGTCCACTTAAACAACGTGGTCAGCATCCAATGTCGAACACTTAATGAGCTATTGATTTTGGGGAATTATTTACAGCTACAGATCACTCCCCCCCTAGTGAGGTAGTGATGCCCCTAAGACGTGACCAGCCAGAAGTTTAAACCCAACGAATTTGTCGTTGGTAAACACTCTTCTGATAGCTTGCTTCGTTTAGCAGCGTCTGGTCGTCTTTCCTTAAACTATGGGACCAAAATGTACAACGTAGCAATAAAGAAATATAGTACAATGAAAATTTCTGTTCCTTGCGAAACTTCGTCGTTCTTTTCCAGCCGTCCTGGAAAAGAGGAAAAATAAAACGTGTGAGTGCATGTCAAAAATACACTCGTACTTGCGTAAGGACACAAGATGAGCGGGAAAAAAATAAACTGATACACTTACAAACAGCGTAAAAGCGATCGGAAAAAAGGTTTTCTTTTGGTTTTTTTTCAATATATAAATATATATATATACGCTCAAAAAAAATAATAATAAAAATGTTTTGTTTTTTTTGTTTTGTTTTTTTTTTTATAAATAAAAAAAAATGAGCATATTAAAAAAAAATTTATAATAAACAATGAAAGGGTAATTCAAGATAAAGCTTATGTCCTACGTGCAATATTCGTTAAGATGTTCTGGAAATCTTACTCGTCTTCCAGAACGCGTTGTTTTAGGTTTTTCTATCAACGTTGACGAAGTATCAAGTTGTGTGTCGGTTGTCGTGTAGGGTACTACGAGTGTAGTAGCTGTGTCGTTTGCTTGTACCGAAGGAAAATCGACGTAGCTAGGGTTTCCTTCTAGGTACGCAGCTTTGAGTCGATCGATACTGATGCTATCTTTCGTACCGTTCTTATCAACTACATAGTACTTAGGTTCGCGTTGAAGAACTTTGAAGGGTCCTTCGTATGCTGATTCGAGGGGTCGTCGATGTGAGTCTCGACGAACGAAGACGTGTGTACTATGTCGTAATTCGGGTTGAACGAAAACATCAGTTGATTGAGGTCGAGTGTGAGCAGGTTTAACTGAACGCATAGCGTTTGTAAGCCTACTCGTGTAAGAGTTTAGATCCATGTTCAATGAAGAAGCTGAAGGATCCACGAATTCTCCTGGGAGTCGGAGTGTCGTTCCGTAAACGAGATGAGAAAGATTGTGCAACGTATTGAAGACGTTGCGGCGATAGTGTTTTGGTACAATTGGACGATCCCTACCTGTAGATGTGTCACAGAGTAAGGTTTCCTTACCTGTTCCCATCTGCCTAATACTTAGTTTAAGAGTTGTCGAGGATAACTCATGCTGAAGATCAATGTCTTCTTTTTGAAGCTGAGCGAGTTTAAGAAGGTCGATTCCTTGGAAACTGTTCAAGGAGCTAATTCGAGACAAGGCGTCTGCGACTACATTGTTTGCTCCAGAAATATGTTGTATGTCTGAAGTAAACTGCGAAATGTAGTCGAGTTGTCGAGACTCTCGCGGTGAGTACTTGTCTGAAGATGAACTTAAAAAGAAGGTAAGAGGTTTGTGATCGGTAAAGAGCGTGAATTCTCTTCCTTCGATGGAATGTTGAAAATGCCGTACAGCACAATACATAGCTAGGAGTTCCCTACCGAACGTGCTGTACCTAGATTCAGCGTCTAGCAACCGTCTCGAGAAAAATCCTAAAGGTTGCCACGAGTTGTTAACCCATTGTTGTAAGACTGCTCCGATTGCTGAGTCGGATGCGTCTACGGCGATACTAATGGGCGCTTGACTGTCCTGATGAGCTAGCAAGGTTGCTTTAGCGATGTGTTCCTTAACTGTGGAAAATGCTTTACGGGCTGTGTCGTCTAAACTAATTGATTTCGCATTTCCACGAAGCTGATCGGTCAACGGTTTCATTAGGGATGCGCATTTAGGTATGAACCGTCTATAGAAACTTACGAGTCCGTTAAAAGTTCGTAACTGCTTGATCGTGGTCGGTTCTGGGTAATCCAGAATGGCCGCCACTTTGCTCCTAAGGGGTCGGATGCCTTGGGCATCAATGGTGTGTCCTAAGAAGTCTAAGCAGTTAGTTCCGATTTGGCATTTCTGAATGTTGACAGTAATGCCATGCCTTTGAAGTCGATCGAAAACAATGTCCAGATGCTTGAGATGTGATTCTCTGTCCGGACTTGCTATTAGACAGTCATCAACATACGCATGTACGAAGTTGAGACCTCGGAAGACGTCGTCTATAAACCTTTGGAAGGTTTGAGCCGCGTTTCTTAAACCAAAAGGCATTCGTAGAAATTCGTAAAGACCGAAGGGAGTGATGATGGCGGTTTTAGGAATGTCGTCAGTTGCCATCGGGATTTGGTTATAAGCTTTAACCAAGTCGATTTTCGAAAAGACAGTTGTGCCTTTCAAGGTAGCTGTCAAATCGTGAATATGAGGCAGCGGGTAACGATCGGGAATGGTTTTAGCATTCAGACGCCGATAATCACCAGTTGGCCGCCAATCATTGCTGTCCTTTTTAGGGACCATGTGCAATGGGGATGCCCATGGACTATTCGATGGTCGAATTATTCCTAGGTCCATCATGTGGTTGAATTCGTTTTTAGCTAACCTAAGTTTTTCGGGAGCGAGTCTTCGGGCTTTCGAAAATACAGGTGGTCCTGTAGTCGAGATGTGATGTGTAACATTGCTGGTTACACAAGGTAATTTCGATTGCGATTGGTATATCCCAGGGTATTTGTCGAGTACTGCTTGGTACAAGGGGTCTATGGCGTGCTTAATCGTGACTGGGGATAACCTGCAACCAGAACAAGAAGTTACGCAAACGGACAACTTAGTGTTTCCGTCTATTAACCTTCGTGAGCGTGTGTCGATGAGTAGATTGTGGTGTTGTAACAGGTCAATACCAATGATTGGCATAGAGACATCTGCAACCACGAAAATCCAGTGTATGGGTTTACGTAAACCCACGTTAAGGTAGACGTACCTTTTACCGTAAGTAGCGATTGGCTTTCCGTTTGCCGCCTGTAAACTTAAAACAGACTCGCGAAGTCTGTCGTCGAGATTTGCTGGAAGAACGCTAACTTCTGCGCCAGTGTCGACGAGGTAGCGAACTTTCGTAGTCACATCCGTGACATATAAGAGGCGGCTGTGTTCGCCGGCTACGGTTGCCGTTAACGCGTGCCGGCTGGGAAGTTTCCCGAACTGTTTTTCGTGTCACTCGATTTCGGGGTCGGATAATTGCAAGGTTTCCTGCAGTTTCTGGAAAACTTACCGTACTGGTTATGATACCAGCACCAGTCGGGATTGTCTGTCTCTCGTGGTCGAGAGCCAGATCTCTTACGTGAGACGCTTCTACGCGGGGTTTTTGACCGACTACGGTCATTGCGAACTCTAAGATATCGTGTAAGCGTGTGACATAGTTCGGCCATGTCAGTCGAGGTCGATTGGGGTTTTTCTTTGACGGAAAAAACCTCGGCCTTAGAAGATCTAGTGATTTCCAAGATTCGATCGGCAGATGCAGCTAGTTCATCTATGGCATTGTTTTGAAATGAAACAAGCACTGCCTGCACCTGTTGAGGGAGTTTAGACAAGAAAAGTTGTCTAAATAGGCCATCATCGAAAGTTCGTTGGCCGATGACTTCTCTCATTCTAAGCAACATGTCCGTCGCAGAACCATGTTGCAAGTCGATATTGTTAAGGAGTTGGTCTAACCGTTGTCGATCAGTTAGGTCTCCTCGTTTTAAAATCGATAGCTTAAGCGATTCGTAAGGTTCGGAAACATCACTAGTAAACATATTAGGTGTTACGTACCTGTTAAACTCGCGCGGTAACGCCTTAACTACCGCGAGGAAACGTGTGCGCGAGTCCGTGATTCCGTGCATGCAAAAATCGGCTTCTGCATAGCAGAACCAGGACTCGATATTGTCGGGCCAAAATGGCGTTAACTGAATCGAAATAGGGGGAATAGACTTGAACTTAAGAACCTTAGGAGAGTGTTCCGTCATAGTAATATAGATATCGAAAAATGTCTAAGTAAAATATATCCGAGAAAAAAAAAATTCGCGAAAAAAGTATATCACAATATATAAAATTCAAATAAAGAATAACAATGAATAATAATGTTCCAAAATGGAACAGACTCACAGTATATTGACTTGGTGTACCAGATCACGTCGGGTTCACCAATGATAATGCAACGGATATTCTAGTTTTACAACTAGATACCAGTAGCACCTTCTAAATTCGGTTGTTACCAGTCAGATAGAAAATCAGAAGTCAAACGAGAAGAGGCAGGAAAGATATATTTGATTCGTTACCAATATATCGAGGACCTTTTCTATGAGCTGGCTAATGAAACGTAGGAGCTGTGTCCCACGCAGTATTGAAACGTGATCTGGTGCGGATGCATGACCGAAAGCCTTCAGCTAAACAAGTCCACTTAAACAACGTGGTCAGCATCCAATGTCGAACACTTAATGAGCTATTGATTTTGGGGAATTATTTACAGCTACAGGGAAATATAGTAGACCAGCCAACAACATAGAAGGAAAGCCAACCACTGAGGTTCAAGAACAGACGAACAGTTGGGTAGAACACTGAGGAACTCTTGAATAGACCAGCTACATTGAATCCACCGGAAATCGAAGCAGCACCTACAGACCCTTCTTTAGATGTCTCTCCACCAACGATCGAAGAAATCAGTACGGTCATCGGACAAATCAAGAGCGGGACCTGACAATACACCAGCTGAAGCACCGATGTCAGGCATAGAAGCAACTGCAAGCATGCTCCACGTTCTATTCAGGAAGATTTGGGAGGAAGAAGAAGTGCCACGAACAGACTGAAAAGAAGAATATCTCATCCAGATACCAAAAAAAACGAGATCTAGTCAAATATGAAAACTACAGAGGTTTCACACTACCATCGGTACCAGGAATAGTTTTCAACAGAGTATTGCTGAATTTAATGAAAAATTCAATAGACACCCAACTTTGAGATCAACAGACCGGATTCTGTAAATATCGGTCGTGCACAGACCAAATCGCGACACTACGGATCATCGTTCAACAATCAACTAAGTGAAACCCATCACCATACATCAACTTCATTGACTATGAGAAGGCGTTTGACAGCGTGGATAGGAGAACCGTGTGAAATCTTCTTCGACACTGTGGTGTACCTGAGAAGATTGTCACAATCATACAGAATTCTTGTGATGGACTACACTGCAAAGTCTTGGATGATTGGCTGCTGACAGACACATACTATGTAAGGACCAGTGTCAGACAAGGCTGCTTACTCTCGCGTTTCTTCTTTTTTCTGATAGTTGACTGGATTATGAAAACCTACACATCTGAGGGAAAGCACGCGATTCAATGAACAGCTTGAATGCACTAGGCGATTTTTACTTCAAAGATTATCTGACCCCTTTATTTCATACAAACCAACAAGTACAGGTCAAGACAGACAGTTTAGCAAAAGCTTCTACAGCAGTAGGCCTACACATACACAAGGAAAAAAGCAAGACCTCAAGTACAACAGGGAGAGCACCAACCCAACCACACTTGATGGAGAACCTCTGGAAGAGGTGAAAACTTACATGTATCTGGACGGCATCATCGATGATCAAGGAGAATTTGATGTATATGGCAATGCAAGGATTGGCAAAGCCAGGGCTGCATTCCTACAGTTGAAGAACATATAGAATTCAAAACAACTTTCAACTAACATTAAAGTCAGAATCTTCAATACGAACGTCTAGACAATCCTACTGTACAGAGCTGAAACTGAGAGAACTACCACAACTATCGTCAAAAATTAATAAGTATTTACAAACAACTGTCTACGCAAGACACACGATGTGCGTTGGTTGGATACCATAAGCAACAGTCTACTGTGGAAGAGAAAAAACCAGCTTCCAGCTGAGGAGGAAGTTAGGAAATATCTCTGGAGGTAAATAGGACATTGCTGTTGTATTTGTATGCGGTATTGATGCTCTTGTACTTGAATGTCTTCTGATTTCGTATTCAGAAGACTTGGATTTCGTTTATACACATCTAGTTCTTACTGGTTAAATTTCTGTGTTTCTGTAATTCCTAGTTGGTACAATAATTTGAATGCTTCTAATCATCGTAATTTCACGGAACAGAGTTCCGTGGAGAGCGCTGATATGCTGCGCTTGCTCCTCCATAAGGGGCGGCAGGAGTAAGTCAGCGTGTCGAGAACAATATAATCCAGTTTGATCAGTTGTTTTGATAAAGGCGCAGCAACACGCACCCAGTGGTCATCTGGTGCAGATGGTTAACCAAGGGATTTTAGTTAGATGTGTCCAGTAAATTCTTGATGTCCGTATCATTATCAAAGACTTACAGAACTATTTATTTCAGGGATTTATTTCCCTCTACAGGTTTGCATTCTTTAAAACGGTTCCATTAGCTGTGTGAAGGGAACAAGTACTGGAACAGTTTATATATTGTGTAAATATTGCCAGCTCTTTATATAAGGAATAGTTTATTTGTATCTCTCCTTTCCCGGATAACACTTAGGTAGCATAAGGAATTCGCTGCAAGGTATACTCAATCTTATCACAAACACTGTGTCATACTCTAAAATTTCGGTTATTCTTCTGTTCATCGATTCGTTCTTTTATATTTCCGTGCTTCATCCTTCACATCTCAGTGAAATTCACGGGATATTTTCGTAACATGTGGATCACCAGATTAAGCGATCTGTGTCGAATGATTGAAGGCCTAGTCAAGTCGAACAGGAATGTCTCGACCAACCAACTTATTTCGAATGTACATCTCACATTTAGTGTATGTGAAGATAGTAAACTGATTTTGCAACTAGTTTTTACTATTATTCGCGTTTTCTACAGAGGGCTGGTACCATGTCAATCCTACACAGTTTGTTCCGGTTTCTGGACAAACCAATTTATTCATTCTTCGCAAAACAACATTCGGATTTATGTATTCACTCATTAACACTTACTGTTTTTATATGATCGCATGTGTTATTTATTTGAGCACATCAGCACTGGTATAAAGAGGCACCAAATAGATATGCGCCACACAATAACCATGGTGCCAGTAGTGATGATCACTGATATGTGTGAGGTCTGTGATACCGTCCGGGTTACCAAACTGAAGATGATTTTCATACGGCTCCACACCTCGAGCTTTTGACATGAAGGTCTAGTCCACAAGGTAGTAGAGCAACGTTAGAAGATGCAGTCCCATGGTAGCCCGTGACCAACGATTGGCCCATACGCCATTTGTTCCCTCAGGAACTCGGAGCCCATTGGTTAATTACGTACTCCACTCACTACATGTCTGTAACTTATTTTCAGTCTGACTATAAATATTAAGTTATGTTTTGTCAAATCGACTTGACTTACACGTCTTCTCTACCACGCATCATTTCGCTTCGCTCTCTTCACTTCTCTGATCGTTTGTCTGGATCAACGATTGTATGAAATACACGTATTCAGAACCTATTCTCATATTTGACTTATTTAATTCCGTTATTCACTAACGCCAGTTAAGTCGATAATTATATACGAGGATTGACGACATTTTTACTTCGATACCAATCATTCATACGATCCAAATAGAGTCAGATATAGGGCCACTAAAAAGGATTCTAATGTCATGATATTTAAATTATATTAGTTAGTGCCAAATCAAGCCTTTTTCCCGCTGCAGGGTAACAGAGAAATGTGCTAAGGAAAGTAAAGCAAGCCTGGTACGAATTAAATATAAGAGATGATATAAAAACAAGTTTGTAAAAACGTCTGTACCTATGTAATCCTCTTTTTGAGGGTACCTCGTTTCAAGACACTCTGTAAGAAAACAACGCTTAGAAAGCATTGAGTAATTCATCCTACAGGAATCTTCGAGAGCTTTCAACCACCTAACACCTGTACATAGAAGTGGGCTGACCAAAATCACACTGCCATAACAACTGCACCTCATTATCACTTCGTCACTGACTTTAAAGCACTCACAACTTTCCCAGTCCTCCGAATTGTTAGACTAAACCTTCGGTTGCTATTGGTCACGCAATTGCTTCCACTACCATTATTTTTTCAAGTTTCATTTCACTAATGTACTGTCAAAATTTTCATCTGCCAAAACAAACTAATTTCAATTTTATTTATTAACCTACTGACGTGATGCGTATTCCGTGTTGCTTTTAATTTGGACATATTTACTTGATTATCAACTTTAACAGCAGCTGTACTTTTATTCTCTTCTAAACAAATGACAAGTCATGAATGGAAATCAGTTCATTTCATTTTACGATTCATGTTAACTTTGGGTTACATTACCAATCAAATACTAACCACTAGAATATATTTCAAAATTCTTATTGGTTTTTCGGTCCAATTTTGTTTTATTTCTCAAGAATTATTCATCTTAATCTTCATACAATCAACTGTTAGAAAAATGTATTAAGCAAATTTGTTCTAATGTACACTTTAAGTAATGCCATTCGCTCACGTTTCTCGTGAAGTCTGGACAGCTGGACAGATTCTTCATTTTTCCTTTTAAAATTTCAGGAACTTTTATTTTGGCTTACTAGCTTTCCTCAAGTTTAACAACAAACAATTCCTACACTTAGGCGATTATTAGGATTTACTGTGAAGATATTTAGTGGAGCATAATATCAAGTAGTCGACAGACAATTACTGAAGAACAGAATTAGCTTTTGATAACACACAATCAAGTAATAAGCGAGACAAAACACACTATATTAGAAATAGTTTATGCCCATCTTACATTTAGCTGGTCGGATACTTTACAACCTGAATTAACTTTTAAGCATTCATTTATATTCTTTATACAAGAGTTCAGTTTGTTAGAGAAAAAAGTAACTTTTTTAAACTATTACGGAGCTTTTAGAAATATATATGTAGTAAAAAGTATTTATTACCATAAAACTTCATCCTGTACATTTTTCTTTTACACTTATTTGATTATAGTGTCCATACTACCAGTTGACGTCACGGTACTTAAGCTATGTTAAAAGCACGACGTATTATACTTTTTACTGTTGTTTATTGAGATGATGTTTACAGTTCAACTAAAAACGTATATATGACAGAAAATAAGCTATCTTATCAGTCATATGTCGACAACAAATTACAATTTACCACAGTATACAAAAAATAGTCTGCAGTCATAACAGTAACACATACTATTCTTCATCACACGTGTATAAAGTCTCATCTTAATATTTTTACATGAAAATCTAAATCGTGTTAAGATTTGAATCAAATCATAGTTTGAATTGATGGTTTCTTTGAATTTTCCTCCACTTCCAACTACCATTAATGTTTCAGTGACAAAACCCTACTAGTAACCGTTAAATTACAAGTTAAGTATCTTGAAAAATATCACAGTTAATTCAAGTGATCACACAAAGTTCTAGTTAAAGCACGTGCACTTTAACTAAAAATCTTATGTGTAAACTAAAGTGAATTATGGAGAACAAATCACAGAAATTAAGAGACAATGTTTGTAAAACAAAAGTGGAATAATTAGCACACTATTGAGTTAAAATATAACCTGTTTGAGAGCCAATTATCACGGGACAGAAAAAGGGAATAGAAAAATGTAAGAAAGGAAAACAAGAATACACACACAAAAGAAAGTCATAACTGGCCATTACTAACAATATGAGCCAAGGATTTTGTTCGTTGACCTTCAGAATGAATAAGTGTTTTCCCAACTTCTTCAATTAAACCATCAATTTCTGTTACATCAGTGCTTGAACCAGTATTTCGTATCATAAGTGGACTTGGATCTGTATTGATAACATCGAGAGGACTCTTAACACCGTTACTATTAGCACTGACCGGGTAACTTTTAGCTGTTAAATTTGCATACTGTTCGGCTTGCTCCATTGTAATAGTCAACTTCGCTAATGTAGCTTTGTATCTGAGTACTTCATCAAACATACGACAACGTTTACGTAAAACGCTGAGTTCCGAATCCCGATTGAGTAAATCACGTTCTAAACGTTGGAGTTTTACATTTTGTCTAAATATTAATTCATTAAGATTGTTTACTTCTGTTTCACGCTTTAAATGTACTTCCTAAAATTGAACACAAAATGGTTAGAAATTCACGTAATAACTATCAGATAAAGTATGCTTAGTGCTACGAACGATGCTGTTTAGGGACATATATAAGTGATAATTCAAGTTTAAAATACTGCTAAGTTGAAAATCAATAATTATTGCTAAAATGATTGCGAAAATTTTAGGAGTTTTGGATTTTAATCAAAAGCAAAGATTCTCCTATGCAGTGTTAAGCCACATGGCTTTAAAATATTTTTCAAATAAATGTGTTAAGAAATTGTTTCATAACCTTAGTACAACTGTCACGGGAGATAGAAAACCGAACTAAAATGGATCTCAACGCAAATGACAAAGCGGGATAGGAATATCGCTCTTCTCAATACCCACAGAAATAACAAGTTTAGGTATTTCATAAGAAAAACAAATAGACTTCAAAAACCACTGGATCTACATAGATTACTGACAAGCGAACTATGAAATAGTCACGTGTATAGTGGCTAAAGATGATTAACTAATGAATACAAGTCACTATCGACCATATAAGCCTAATTAATTATATTTCTCCACAAATTACTAACCCTATGAAGTGGACTGGTGGAAAATAAGGGTTTATCATACCAAATACAAATACTAATGTCCACAAAATGACTGAAAGTGAACAAATCCAAAGTAAGCCTTATCGTACAAAACTTATTGTGTTGCAAATCATATACTCCTCTCGTTATTCATATTTATCAAATGACTGCGTGATTACTTTAGGGTGTGAACTACAACTTTACTGACTAACTCTTTACGTCACTAATAATGTGCGTCGTTTAGTGAAAGTCATTTAAGGCTCGTCTACAAAATTGGAGACGTATAATTTGATCCGAAAATTCGAACTCCTACTATGTAGCCCTTTGGTTACAGGTACCTTCACTAGATCAGCTGCGCTAAATAAAACTCCTTCACAAATAAATCGGTCAGTGGGAAATAATCAATTTTATCTGGTCATTATTACTGATGCAAACACTATACTAACTGGAGAACCTTATTCCTTACTAGATTTCTGGTCACTTTCATTTACAGTGTTGGGTTCGTGCTTAGGGCATCTGAAGTTTAACTAGTAAATCTGAGGTATGAGTTCTACCCCACCTAATTCAGTATGAATAGAATGGTAATAATGAGACTTCACAAGTTGATCCCAATCTGTACTCGGTAAATGAGTCGTAGTGTTTAATCATTATATTATTATCTACTACTGGATAACTGATTGATGTGACAGGACTCTACTGATTTGTGACGACCGAAAATGAGCATGAAATAATCACCCAGATGAGTTATACTGAAGCATAATACCTGCATAACTGTGTTGAAGTCTTCTTCCTTTTTATTTAACTCTTCTTCCTTAGTTTTGAGTTGTATTTCCAGTTCCTTAATCCTAGTTGTTAAAGCGTTGAGGTGGCGATTAGCTTCCTCAATGTGTGTTTTAGGCTGTGTACCATTGAACCACATCTAAAATAAAAGTATCTTTTAAAAAGGGCAGAAAATTATGGTAAACTGTACGTGACATACACAAGCCTATTTTATGAAGCAGACAACAGTCAACCGGATGAATACACGCGATATGCATACGGTTTCTAATAAATAGGTGGAAGAGTTGTAAAAATTCATCCGAGTCATAAAATAAATGAACGGGTTTTCAAACCGAATCTCAGACAGCCATGAGAAAATTAATTTGACGAAATGACCAGTTTATTGTTATTTTCATTAGCATTAACTCAAAAACTATGAATTCCATTTAAATCACGAACCGATGTAATTTAGGTTATCACTGAAAACTTGAAAGCACTAGGCGTTTGTTTTGTTCTAGTATGGAACTTCTCAACGGTGTCCACCCATGGACGTACAAGTGGGACTCGAACCCAAGACATTAGGTCCCGCATGAGAACGCCTAGTCTCTAGACTGCTGAGTCGGCATCTAAAGGTGTTAATGTCCAACTGACAACTATAACTTCGAAGCCAATACACACTGGATTCATATGTCGAGGAAACTGTTATAATTGTATTTTTTTGCTATATAAACGACCCAGCTATTCCTATTGCTTAGTATTCTTATACGATGACACTCGACAAGACCCCGAAATCAGAACACGTTGAACAGGAATGAAATTGTATTCAAAATAATAATGATAAGTGAACAGCACTCAATAGTTTGAATAGCGTTCATATATTTATAGTATATGCATAAGAAGCTTATAGATTTTTCTGCAATAATATGCCCGGGCTGATCGGCTTAAAATTAACCAATCAGCGCGCAGCAACACCATCATGCATAAAACATGCTTAATCCAATCTATATCCCACTAACACCTCCCCCTTGAGCAGATTCGTAGGATCTGGTGTTAGGGTCCAACTGGTTTGTGCTTCCGGTTAGTCCACCTTCTAGGTAATAAGGACGTTGTATCATCCTTCGTTTGCACCTTGACTGTCCTGTCTGTTTCAGGTGTTTTGATCTCAAAGGTGTCTAGCAGAACATCAAGAGGTAATCTATGCTGCGTCTCGTTGTTGGAGATCGAGGTTGATTTCAGTTGGTTAGCATGACGCACCCAGATTTCTGAACCAACGGACACCTCGTAAACCACATTTCCTTTCTTTTGCACGATCCGACCAGCTATCCATGTAGGATGTTTTCCTCAATAGTCCATAGCAAGTACCTTTTGACCCACACTGAACAATCGTTTTGTGCCCGATGATGACTATTGTACTGTTTCTCCATCATCACGTTTCGTTGCGGCTTAAGAGCTGGAGTCAGACGAATGCTGTCAAAATGTGTACGTAGTTTTATGCCAAGTAACGCTTCCGCAGGGGAGACTCCATTTGTTGTCTGAGGGTTCAGTGTCGAACGGTAGATAAACAAGAACCTCTCTAAGATCTCTTCGGTGTCCCCCTCCCCTCTTGATTTTTTAGAGCATTTTTGAACGTACCAACAAAACGTTCTACCTGGCCATTCGATTGCGGATGGAATGGAGGTGTTCGGATGTGCCTGATTCCGTTCTGCTGACAAAATTCTGAAAAGTTTCTTCTGACTTCATCTGACGACATTGGAGTGTTTCGAATTGCCGCTGCTGCTACACTCCGTATTTCTGGAACCTTTTTACCTGTCTTTTTTGCATATGAAGTGGTGTCTAATGATGGACACGACACGTTACACACGCTGTTGATGGGTATATCCATTAATCCAAGCTTTTCTAACATATCTAGACCAAGTAGATTAAGGTTTGGTCGTTCTGTTAGATAGCATACTCCTTTACAGCTATTTCCATTGAAGGAAAATTCACATTGTAATTCACCAACTAGCTTTAGTACACCTCCAGATACGTTTTTAGCCGTTTTCTTGGATGGCTTCATTGGCGGTTTTCCCAGCAAGTTATAAGTCTCTCTAGACACTAGAGTAATATCGGATGCTGTGTCAATTTGAAGACGAACCGCTATACCATTAATCTGGATCGTAACATACTTTCTCCGAATGTCATAGTCTGTTTGAAAGGCTGCTACCAGAGAAAGTGTTTTAGATTCGGCTGACTTTATGTGTCGAGGACGTTTGTGCTTCTGCTTAGGCTGGGACGTACGATTTGGAGGACAATGACCTTCTTTATGCCCACGTTTGTTACACATCTGACATTTATGTTTCTTGAATGGGCAGAATCGTACATAATGCCAATCACCACATAACCAACATGCAGTCGTTGGTTTGCTACCACTTGTTTTTGGTTCCTGAACTTTTAACCTCGTAATAGCATTGACACTACTGCAGGTTAAATTAGGATTTGCCTGTTCAATCAACTGATTGTCGTGTCTGATGTTCTGTAGTCGCTTACACTCATCTGTTAACGTTCTGAGTGTGATGCTCGGGTCTTGATCCAAACGAGTTAGAAGTCTGGTTCTAATCTCAGCATCTTGTGGTGACTGGAGAGCTTTGATGAATATAAGGCATTTAAATTGATCTTCTGTCAACGAGCGTAACTTGAACTTTTCACATTCTCTGTTGACGATGTCTACTAGAACACCATATTCATCGGCTTCTCGTTTCACCAAATTAAGACACTGGTAGCGAATACTAAACAATGAGGAAGATTCACCGAATATTTCTGACAGCTGAGATACTGCCTCCTCGAAACTGAGCTCTCGAGGTAACTTTGGTAATATATGATCAGCATAGCGTGCATGTTCATGACTTCCAACTTACGCATCAACAACCGAGTCTTCCATGCGTCATCTTATTGACAGAATTCTATTCTAAATGTATCTTCCAAACGCTTGAACCACGTGAGAAAAGTATTTCTACTTTCGGGATCATATATGAATTCCGGGATGCTGCTAGCAACTGCATCACAAGAATTACTTGAAACAGCATGTGAACTCGAGTTTTGGATGCTAAACTGTTGCATCAGTCTCCAACAACCGCATTTGTGCATCAAGTTGTGCTTGCTGTTGTTGTAGTATTCGGCTGAGCTGGTTATCTGATATAGGCATTTTGAATGAATTTTCCTTTTTCCCCGTCGCCACTGTTATAATTGTATTTTTTTGCTATATAAACGACCCAGCTATTCCTATTGCTTAGTATTCTTATACGATGACACTCGACAAGACCCCAAAATCAAAACACGTTGAACAGGAATTAAATTGTATTCAAAATAATAATGATAAGTGAACAGCAATCAATAGTTTAAATAATGTTCATATATTTATAGTTTATACATAAGAAGCTTATAGATTTTTCTGCAATAATATGCCCGGGCTGATCGGCTTAAAATTAACCAATCAGCGCGCAGCAACACCATCATGCATAAAACATGCTTAATCCAATCTATATCCCACTAACAGAAACACAGCACAAGTTTCCAGCTCCCATTTCTATTTTGAACAACAGATCTAATATTTTGTTAACAAAAGCCTAAGGTGATAGCTGAATAACACAATCAACGACATGTTAGGCCTGAGACATTTTTACATGAGTAGTAATTCATAAAGTTTAACTTGTAGTCTTTGATGTTATGACAATATATAACTAATTATTTGACAGCGTTTGATCTGTTCCTAGTGGAGGTCATTCTAGACGGCTGATGTGCTACATCAGGCCACCTGCATTCATTAAATATGCTAGAACTAACAGAGCTAAACATACCTATTGTCAAGGGTTAAGTCTCCTCAATGGACAGTAAACGTACTAATTTTGTTAAATAAATTTAAGAATTGAATTAGATAATGATCCAGAGATTAAAAAGAGCGTGGAAAGTGGCATCATGTGTAAATCCAGCTAGTAATAAAGGGTAAGGTATGTAAATTGTATGACGAAAGAATAGGAGGGAGAAAAGGTATGACCCTTCGATTTTGAAGACTTGAGTGCTTTTATATTCGGCTCAAAGAAGTTAATGAACCAGTTCAATTATGAAAAACTTAGCTCGGCTAGTTAACTAAGAGAACCTCAACGAACCTGTATTACATCTCAAAGCCGATAAATGTAATGAGCTGTGTGAACTCAAGCATTATATATATATATATATATATATATATATATCAGGCAGTCATAACTGATATATGAAGCTTCATTAGTTTACCTTATGAGTTACATTGTTCAGGACAGGAGCAAGTTAAGAAGGCTAAACAGTGACATATGTTGTCTGTCAGAAGAACAGCTTAAAATATCCGCATAAAAATAAACAACCTAGAGCTAAAATTACTCGAGATGCTTTGTAATTGTTCTAAGACTGGAATTATCACAATGTCACGTAAAAAACAACTCAGTAGAGGAATCATCAGCAAAATGGATTTTTAGTAGAGATAATTATTTTGAAACTTCAATTAAGGCTTTCCGGAACGTTGTCTCAAACTTTGGGATCACGGCTTTCTCACCAGATTTCGGATAGTAACTAACATGTCTATAAACGCCGCTCCAACAAATGAAATAAGTTACAAAGTTATCGGATTCGTTTGTTTTATTCTCAACGTCTTGACACTTACTTTTTGTCCATCTCCGAGCCTTGCTTTATCTACCAGTTGAGTTAATGTTACCCTTATCTATTTCAATTTTTTAATTTATTTGATCCGCACGCTAAAATTCTTAATACGTCCAGCGTGAAGCCTAGAAAATCGAAAGCTGCATGTTTCAACACCGAAAGGTGGGGAGAACAAAAATAACCATCAAGCTCACAAAACTAGTAAGGCAACTTTACATTGAAAAAAACGGCAGAAAACAAGAATTAGGCGAACACAACATTTGAACGTTATGCACAAATATTTGAAGGTAAAGAAAACGGCTCTTGTGATTTAAAGCCATAGAAGTATCATGTTAAATGTTCATGAATGAAGTAAGTAGGAACTTTCCCACTTTAAATTATAGTCACGACTTGAATATATACATCTACATATTTTGGAACAAACAAAACAGACTTAACACTTTTCAACATACGACTTGGAAAATAGCGCAACAACCGAAAGAGCCGCTCCAGAAAATGGTCCAAATGGTCATATACAGAATAGAAAGAGCTTATACCTAACGGAATTCTGTGTCTTGTTGCAGTGAATTGCCGTGTCCTTTGGGTTGAAATCTCGATATGCTTGATCGCCAATAGAGAGCTATTAGTTAGAATATTGACATGAGACCTTAGTAACATATTAAGGCATGAAACAAAAGTTACTCTGGTCTAAATTGTCGCTTTTTGGCACAATTCTGAGTGAATAAGTTGGTTTTGGCAATTTTTATCCGAATGTACGTTTTTGATGAGAAGAAAGTCATATTTTGTCAGTTGTTGTGGTAAATAAACCCCCAAAATTAATAGCCCTGTTAGTATCCGACATTTGATGCTGACCGCATTAGTTTTAATGTAATCATCTGGCTAAATGCGCTCGGTCATGAATCTGCACCAGATCACGAGTGATTACGACATGTCTCACTTCCCCTTCAACTTCTAAGCAGCTTAGATTGATCACTTCGCCATATATCGATATTCTATCAAATACATTTTCGAGTTTCTTCGCTTCTGACTTCTGATTTCACTGGATTGGAATGTTTAGAATATAAAGGTGTTAACGGCTAAAGTGTTTTCAATCTCCAAATACTTGTTGCATCTTCACGGTCTTGTCACGACGCTATAAGTATGTTAAGTTATACGCAATCAAGTACGTTAAAGTGTCTGGGTTGTATAGTGACATTTATGTCTACTGATTTTTTGTAACAACAAATTAAAGGTCACATATTTTTCCTAGTTGTCACACTTTTTATGTAATCACACTCATATTCGATATCTATTGTTTTTCTGTATCAATGGTAAAGAAACGAATACTTTTGTTTGGTTATATATAACACGACTTCACTACCGCGCTTCTTAAAATATAAACGTTGTATCCGCCGTTTATTCTTCTGCTTTAGCGGCCACGGCCTGTGATTGAAGATTATAATAGTATTATAACATCTTTTTAGACCATTCCACACTACGTTGGTGTTTTGACCCGGATCATTACTGAATAATACTACTGGATCTAATCTTCTCCATTTTGCTGTTGGTGCCATCACGTGCAGAGGAATCTTTGTTAACCAAGTGAACTTATTTGTGGTTGTTATCTCAGAAAGCAGCTTACAAGTAACATTCATTTCATAACACTGTTACCATTTTGTTGCTCAATATACCTTTTTATAATTTAACTGTAACTTGTTACCTTTTGCGTTAATCATAGACACACGCTTAGGTTCGTAGTGTTAATTCTTTTGGTATATTGTTGGTAACGTTGCGTATTGTTATATTTTAACTAAGCTCTTTTGCTGAGGTCCACCACAGTTGTTAGTCAGTGCTACGAGTTGCTATACATAACACTGAGAATACAGCGAAGTACTTGACGATGGCTCACCATCATGCTCCAAGACTGTCAATCCGTTAAGTAGGAGATTATCTTCTGAGGAGAAGGATAACTTGGCTCCAACATTGCAACGAAAATGCAAGTTGGATGTTGTTGAAATGTGAAGAATGCATTTCGTGACGAAATCCCTGTCAGCGATGTAAGCAACCTGAAATTTCAGCCCCTCAAACGTTTGCGCAACCACTTAATTGCGGTTTAGATCCACCAAAAATTCCATCTCTTATAGTATCTTTATTCTACCATTTGGTGCAATAAATTTATTTCAGTCTTTATTTCATATTTATCATATCACTGGGAACCCGAAGTCCATTAGTACTGGATAGACAGCTTAGAAAATCTAGTCAAAACTCAAACTAGATCAATATTTTTTCATTTAAACACATAAATATTGGTACAAGGGGGCACCGGCTATTTATGCACCACACAAAACAATGAGAAGGGGAAGAAGAAGGGGAAAGATGCGTATATATGAAAGAACTGAAATGAATATGTAAAAAAAATTAGTGATGATGAGCGAAACTGAAATATACACCCAGAAGATCTCTTTCAGTTAATGAAGTTATGATCACTCTTTATAAAGAAAGTAAAAGAAGGTTACAGTAAGATCGCCACTCGCTTCTACTCTGAGCCACATCTGACAACGTCTCTAGTCATTGTGTCGTCCCATCTCTCGGACCCCAGTCAGGGAGTCGTGAAGGATCAACAGAAGCTAGCCCTTTGCAGCTTTCTTTCATACTGCGACACCATGTCTTACAATGACCACCTCTCCGCCTTTTCCAACCAGTCCCGGCGTCGAGGAATAATGCACGACGAGGAATTCTCTGGGACGACATTCGTGGATCATGTCCAAGCCACCGAAGTTGGTGTTTCAAGATGGTGACACTAATTGGATTATCGTCTCTGCGCCCGAGTAAACGATGCCGAAGCTCTGCATTACTAACATGGTGTTGCCACTGGATGTCAGCAATCCTTCGGAGACAACGATGATCGCACACAGAGAGTCGTATAACATCCTCAACTCGGGGAGGCCAGGTTTCACAAGCATAGAGCAAGAATGCTCTCACCGATATGTTGTAGATCCGACCTTTTACAGCCAGACTAACATCACGAAGGCGCCAAAGATGGCCCAGATTGGCATAAGTCATTCTGGCTTTCATTATACGTGCATCGATCTCATCACTCACGCCACCACCAGCACTTATATAGCTACCTAGATACACGAACTTCTCAACTACTTCAATCTGTTCACCACCTAGAGTGAGTGCAGGATTAGAATCCTGTCAGTCTTGTAGGAGTACTTTGCACTTCGGAGGTGCAAATCACATACCGTACCTATGAACACTCATTGCCAACTGAACAAGTGTGGATTGCATAACTTGAGCATTATCGCACAGTAAGACAATATCATCCGCATACTCAAGGTCGAGAAGTCGTTCTCCAAGCAACAGATCCACACCGCCATTGCTTACATCTATCAGAGCTGTTTCCAGAATGTCATCAGTGGCAAAGTTGAAAAGGAATGGTGAGATCAGGCAACCCTGCCTAACCCCACTGTTCGAATGGAACAATGGAGAGAGGTGGTTGTATGCCCTCATTCTACCTGAAGTGTTTGTATATAGGGCTTTCAAGATGTTAATGAACTTCTCAGGCACACCCTTCTTCAATAGACAATCCCAGAGAACAGTCCTGTCCAACGAATCGAAGGCAGACCTGATATCAAGAAACACTACGATTGTTGGCCTGCGATAAGTATGACTTTTTTCTAGCATTTGGCGAAAGGCGAAGATATGATCAATGCATCCTCGACCAGAACGAAAACCAGCCTGCTCCTCGCGAGTCAATCGTTCTCTGGTTTTAAACAACCTACGAAGAATGACAGAAGCCAATAGCTTGGAAGCAATCGGAAGAAGACTTATCCCCCGATAGTTATCACAGGAACAACGCGAACCCTTTTCAAAGATAGGGACGACTATTGACTCATTCCATGATGTTGGAACACTTTCTTGCTCCCAAACCTTTGCATTCAAGTCTCCGGCTAGTACTACAATATCTGTCGAACGCGCTTTCTGGAGAAGAACTGTTAACTGGTGGTAAAACTCATCCTTGATTGCATCCGGGCTGCAATCTGTCGGAGCATAGGCGGAGATAACAATAAGACACCGTTTCTCATGCCGATTTCTTCTCACTTTGATAGAACTTTCTAATCTAACAGCACATAACCGACTGTTAATGGGGATCCAATCGATTAGTGCTGCCTCAGCTCTAGCGCTTAGTGCGACACCAACGCCAGCAAGACCAGACGAAGATGCCACAGGGTCCCTGTATAAACGCGTGTGAAACAAGCTTTTAGAAGCGACAGATGGAGAGCGAATTTGTAGTACTTCACTAGAGTCTTGAATATGGGTCTCAGATAGACAACAAACGTCGATATTAAGACTTTCTAAAGACATAGACAGTCCTATCTGTTGTCCGATATGCATTAGTGTGCGAACGTTGAAGGAAGCCAGTTTGAACGACGTACGTGGTTTCAGAAAGACTGGTTCAGTATTCATGTTCGGTAGAAGCATTCACTTTCGACCAAACAGTGACTGGAGATCGTTTAGATAGAATAGAGTTTCCACCATGGGGGATCTGCTGCCTAAGTTGAAAAGTAAGGATACACAGATTGGGAATAAAAGGGAGTGAATAAGTGACGTGGTAAATAAGAATAACAATGTAAATTGTCTGACTTCTGGTAGAAGTTAGAATAGTATTGTCAGTAGAAAGCGCCATTTTATTTATTTGTGCGAGGGCTGTGATACTACCCAGGTGCCCAGACCGAGGCAGGTTGTTTTCTTAGGGGGCCACACCCCGAGCCTTTGGCCTAAAGGTCTAACTTACAAGGCAGTTTAGCAACGTTAGGAGATGCAGTCCCATGGTAGCCGGTGACCGACAATTGGTTCATACGCCATTTACTACCTCGGGGTACTGGAGCCCATGTACACCATCGGTTTGGAATCAGGGTTTGCCAACTCCCCTAGGTGAACTTTCCGTGTCCACCAATCCGGTTAATGCGCCAGATATTCGCTTTTCGTCCTCTCAATTTCGTAAACAACACCCGTGGCACCAGAAGGCAGTGAGTAGGACTTCCCTGTGAGAGGCTATATACGCGTGGTCATGTGAGAGTATTTCGAGAGGGAGAGCTGACTATCCCCACTCTCGGCCGTACCACGGCATTCGGGGTCACTAATTCAATATAACTATTTATTCTCACAAGACTCAAATAACTCAACAAGAAAACCTATTTCTATTCACCAACACCACACCTCTAAGTTTGTGCCTAACGTAAAATACCATCTCGTGATATCCAGAGACTATGACTACTTCGGCCACTATGTGGAACAAAAATGACGGTAAAGATGAAATGTCATGATGAGTCTAGAATAGTACAGAGCTCATAGCGTGGTCATTCTTGATCTTCAAGATTTTTGATGGACTGTTTGACGATCAACCATCTGTCGTTGAATGTAGAAATAGTTATACATGATGGATGGCTTGTTTTGAGCCCAGTTAAGTCTCACTGACCCAGTGAATTTCTACTAAAAGAAGGTGTTCAAAATATGCCGGTGACGACCG